TTACTGAAGGTAGGAAAGGCAAGCACTCAGCCAGGCAACAGCAGGATGGTGAGAGGATCACAGCAGCCTGAGAATAGGGCCAAGGGGTCCTTTGTATCCAAAATCCTAGGGTCATCACCCTCTCATGCAAATAAGGTGCAGGATGGTCCTTATCAAACACTCACTTGGGGTCACACCCTGTGCAAGCTGTTTTAGCAAAAAGTTCTGTTGACTTTCGGATGTATGTAAATGAAGAATCAGAAGGTGTCTTGACTGGTTATGCCGATATGCAAATGAAGGGTTGGAAAGAGTGTCTTCTGATGACTTCTGCATTGAACATCAGAGTCAAATGAAGGGTTGAAAATAAGAAGTTTCTGATTGGTCCAGAATGGCACCTTTCTGACTTCTGTGTGCAGTGATGTTGAGGGTGTCCCTCCCTCTGCTGCCTGGTCCTTGGTGGACCGGCTTATGCTATTAGCTCACCATGGCAGTTTCTTTTTTTTTTTTTTTTTTTTTTTTTTTGGTGGAACCAGGGACTGAACTCAGACCCTTGCACTTGCCAGGCAAGCGTTTATTCTACTGAGCTATCTCCCTGGCCCCTTCCATGGCCATTTCTGATGGACAGCTTTCTGCCTCAGAGGTTTGTAGGTTCATTCCAGGTCCTGGTAGGGAGGGCTTAAAGGCCCTGGATTTCTCCTCTGCCAGCCACAGTGCTGCATGGAAGCTACTGTGGGTTCTGACTTAGAAGGCAGGACTGGATGATTTCACTGCTTCAGCCTCCTCCCTCTCCCTCTGGACTCCTACTGTCCTTCTGTCACCAGCCCAGCTCCCTGCTGGGAGCTGTGTCTGTCTGTGGTGCCACATGACCCTGTCTTGAAAGCTGTGGGGTCCCTGAGTGCACCCAGCCCTTTGTGTTATTTCTGGAGAAGTTACTTTTTCTTTTAAACACAATGCTGAATACACAGCCAGCCCACTAGGAAACCCTTGAGCTGGAGCCTGAGAAGGTTTCAGGGCCTTCTGATACATTGGACCAGTAAGACACAGGCTGTTAGCTCGCTGGGGATTATGGGGAAAAAAAATAAGAACCAGCCACAGGATACCTGCAGGAACCTTAAAACTAACAAAGCACTAGTTTGGGGCTTTGTTGCTTTATTTTTGAGACAGGGTCTCACTGTATGGTTCCAGCCTGCCTTGTGTTTACTATACATCCCAGGCTGGCCTTGAGCTTACAGTGGTCCTCCTGCATCAGCCCCCCCCCCCCAGTGCTGGGACTACAGGTGTGCACCACCACAGCTGGCTCCAAAGCAGTTTTTAAGAGTTTCTAAATAGAATTTCATGCATGCAAACAGCAAGGACAGTACTTTGAATAGGTTCAGTGACAACAGATGATACACAGCTGGATGTTAGTGAGCAAATTGGAGGGTAGAGTCAGGAGGAGCTAAACAGCATGGCACAGAAAAACAGATGTGATGGAAACAGAGGAAGAGCAGATGATGCCGAGAGACAGTGTGTATTGCTCAGTTTTCCCATCACTGGGATGCAATGCCAGCCCCCACAACTTGCAGGAAGAGGGATGTAACATGGCCCATGGTTCAGGGGACTCAGTCCATGGTCGCTGACTATGAGACAGATCATCACTGTAGAAGAGTGGGGAAGCAAAACTTCGCTTCGCTTCATTGGAGGATGTGGCAGAACAGGGGAACAACACCGAGAGGAAAGAGTGACGAGCCCAACAAATGCTCGCACTTCCATGACCACCAAACACAATCAGAAATGTGCTTAACTGATCCCCTGTGTATTTCTTAAGTCAATCAGGTTGGCACGGTGAAGGTAAACCATAAGCAAATGAGGTTGACCACCTACAGAGGGATAGGTACGAAAGGTACTGTCCAGGAACTCCTAGACCTTGCAATGCAATTAATTAAGAAGCTCAATCTAATTCATTTGTAAAAGATGGTAACCTTTGAGTTGTAGGGTATGTTGGGGTTTCTGGGTAAGGTGGGAAGCTTGCATCTCTTGGATGTGAACAGGCGGGAGAGCTTGAGGGTGGTGGCTGTTAAGAATGCTGTTAGCAGACCCTGGAGCTGACCTGGGATTCAGGTAAAGGCTCACTCGAGGAGGGAATAAACGTGGGATCACAGGGGTCCAGTTTCAATCTGAGATCACACAGATTGTCTCTGGACAATCACAAAGTGGTCTCTGTCTGAGGGACTTTATGACATTCAAGTCACCATTTTGAGGCCATTGCAGTATCTTTGCTGCTGCATAGTTTGAAAAAAGATTTCTAAGTTCAGCTCTCAGAAGCATGAGTGGGCAGGCAGTTCTGCTGTCAGTTGCAGGGGAGGGAGTGCTTTCATGTCTCTGGAGGACTCTGGTCAGTGTCTGTTCAAATGTAAAATTCATATCCTCTATAATTCAGTAAATCACTTTAGGAATTTGTTCTGAACCTATCAAATATATGCATTCCTCTCCTTCTGCCGAGTGCACTTAGGCCTGTTTTCCTTTGGAATTGTGTCTGGTTCAGGCTGTGGCAGGATATGGGTGCTGAGGTCACAGGTGTGTGTGGTTTCCTCTATTGCTTTGGATTGAATTGGACCCCAGTCCCCACAGTCACATGCCAGGGACCTGACCTCCTGGGAGATGGGACAGTGTATACCACAAAGGACATAGTCAACATGGAGAAGGAATTACTGTCCAGAAAACATGAAGAATGTATACAACTCAACAGAAATAACTCAGTTTTTAAAAAGGCAAAGCTCATGACTAGGTGTTCCTCCAGAGATGCCATGGAGATGGCCAACAAGAACAGAAAAATGACGCTCAACATCATTTGTCATTGGGTGTGCAAATCAAAATCATGAAGAGTGGTCTCCTCACCTCCACTAGGATGGCTCCTGGGAAAGTCCACAGCATGCGGCCCATGTTGCCAGGGGCGTGGAGAAATGGCCCCTTGGGTGTGGCCAATGGATTGTAAGATGCTCCTACTCCTGTGGAACACTCAACAGCAGCTCTTCAAACAGCAGCTATCCTGTGACCCAGTGTCTTGGTTACTCTTTTCTCAGTGCTGGAACAAATACCTAACACTCAAAATTAGGGAAGGAAAGGTTTATTTAGCTCACAGTTAGTGGAGATTTCAGTCCATATTTAGCTGGCTCCAAGGCAGAGCAGCACATGGCAGAGAGCAACCTTTCATGGCAGTGGCCAAAAGCAAAAGGAGTAAAGGGTGTGGCAGGAGCTCAGGCAGCTTGCTATCTAGCCTCTCTCTCTCTCTCTCTCTCTCTCTCTCTCTCTCTCTCTCTCTCTCTCTCTCTCTCTCTCCCCCATCCTTACATTGTAATGCAAATTACCTGCCTAAAGGCAGGTGCAACAACCACACCTATCTCAATCTCAATCACCAACTCCATGACTGCATGAGACTTTGGGGGAACACCTAGACACAAACCATAACACCCAGAAATCCCATTTCTGAGTATAGGTCCAGAAGCATTGAAAGCAAAGTCTTCCCAGGGTACTTACACACCTTCCTCTGGAGCAGCATTATCTGCAGTAACCAAGGAGTGGAAACTGCACATGCTCATGGGTGGATGAGTTGACAGATGGATGGATGTGGTACATGCATATGACAGAGCTTTCATCAGCCTTAAAAGGAGACAAATGCCTGCTGTAGCCCTAAGGATGCTGAGCTCCATGACATAAACCAGCACACTAGGGCAGAGACCCCAAGACCCTGCTTATGAGAAGCATCTGGAAAAAAAACACCTTTATAGAGACAGAAAGGAGCAAAGTGGTGGCCAGGCACTGGGCAGGACAGCTAACAAGTTAATGTTTAACAAACACAGAGTCTTGTTTTATGAGATGAAGCCATTGTGGAAGTCAATAAAGAGAATTTACCTTTCTGAACTGCTCACTGGATGAGGTGGTGCCCTTGGTATTATGCCTTTTTAAAAAAATCAAAGTTGTTAAAAGAAAGCAAGAAAGCAAGCAAGCAAGAAAGAAAGAAAAGAGAAAGAAAAAGAAAACCAACTCAGAGACAAAAAGCCCACTTCTGCAATCAGGGAGTTAATGACACGGGTCATGGGCTAAGGAGGTAGCTCAGTGGAACAGCACCTGACTGGTAAGCATAAGGTCCTGAATTTGATCCCCCGTACCATTAAAAAATGAATAATAAATAAACACAGGTAATATTCTTGGCAGAGGACATCAAGACTCCATTTCCTGATCTTACTCACGGTCAGGCACAGCTGGAGAATGGCTCTCAGGGTGCTGGTGGACTGCTCAGCAGTAAGGACCCGGAGGCAGGCCCAGGCATGGTGTCTGTATAGTTCTGAGTCTCTAGCAGGACTGTCCCTCCCTTCCCTCCTCTCAGACTGGGGAGGACATGGGTGGCATGAACTAGAAGGTGGCAACCACGTTGCCCACAGGACACACAATCTGCTACAGGAGCTTCCTGGGAGCCACACAGCTGTGGAGGGGGTTGTGGCCAGTGTAGAAGAATGTTGCCAGCAAGCGCACGGTGTTCGGTATCATGTGACTGAAGAACTGGTGGGGTCGCTGCACAGCTTGCTTCCAGAACCTCTCGATCTGCAGGAGGACCAGGTTTCCCTCATAACCCTGCCTTCCCCAGGAGCCTGGATGTCCTCTTGAGGTGTAGCCGCCATGACTGTGCCAGGTCAGAGTGCTGGCTCCACCATGCTTCCTTTGGCAGCCTTTCCTGTTGGTTGGCAAACTGGGCACGCCCAACATCAGGGCATTGAAGTCTTTTATTCAGCGGAGCTTCTCAGTGCATATCCAGCCCTGGACTGGGTCAGCTCCAGGAAAAAATCCTGTGTAGCTCATGACTGGAGCTCCAGAGTGCAGCCCTGGACACCACCCTGCCTGCACCTGCCTCGCTAGCTGCTCCTGCAGCCTACCTGGTCTGTACCTGACATTTACATGTGCCCGGCCCGCCCCTTGCCTGTGGACAAGGAGGAAAGGGAGGGTGTGTTCCTTCCTGTGTCCCCTCCCTAAACTCAGTGAGGCTAAGCCTTGTGCAGGTGCTGGCGTGGGTAGTAGGGAGTGCCACACAGGCACCAGGAAGATGCATCCGGGGGCTACAGGTGAGTGGGACACCCACAGTGCTGGGGGAGGGGTCTGGTTGGAACCTGACACAAGAAGTCAAATGGATGGATCACCAGGGCCACTTCCTGTTCAACTGGGACTGGAATAGGAACCCAGAGCCAGAAGGGGGGCTGGGCAGATCTCCCTGCTGTCCCATGCTCCTCCCTGACTGCGTGGCAGGGTAGGTGTGACAGTTCACCTGAAATGCAGGCTTGGGTTAGGGGAGGACCGGGACCTCCAAGCTGGCTCCTTCCCCAGCCCATGTCCTAGACCTCTGCCAGACCAGTCTGGCCCCTGCCTATGGGGGACACTCTGCAACCCCAGGTGGGGCATCTTGGGCTGGAGTAGGCAGCCAAGCCCCACGAACAGCCTGGGAACTGTGATAAGGGCAGAGCACAGTGTGTCATTCTTTTTCAAAGGGAGGGGAGCTCCAAGGGTGTCTGGTGACAGTGGCTGGGACCCGAATGACTTTCTATTTACTTATCTTACCTATCCTGTCTCTTCAAGTACCTGACGCTACAGGCAATTTGGAGAGGCAGAGAGGAGAAAAGGAAAACCCCAGCCCTCACCTCCACCACGCGTCACAGAGCCTATTTTCTCCCTCCTCTCCTGTGCCTCGACTCACCTGGAATCTGGCCTTGGCCACACACATCCTTTACACAGGGACTGCCACACCTGCTGCAGCCCCAGGACACTGGTCTCCAGGCCACATGGAGGGTTACTTCCTCTTGGGCCTAGGGTCTCTCACCCTCGGGGAGGCTCAGCTGCCTATGTAGGAACGCACCTTTTAAGATTCCTGCCTTTCTATAAAATACACATTCTTCATTTTTTTTATGCATGCATGAATTGGTCTCTGCTGACATCTGTCTAGTACCTCTGTCCTCTGTCCCCAGGTGCCTTCAAGGCCTTGTTCCTTGTCTTCGCCTCCCTCTGCGCATGGTACTCCGGGTACTTGGTGGCAGAGCTCATTCCCGATGAGCATCTGACTAGCGCTGTCTACAGGGTGCGGAGCATCGGGGAGAAGCCTGTCCTCAAAGGTGAGCATGAGTCTGCCAGCAGTGACCGCACGCCTGTAGCCTGACCTTCACATGATCTCTTCAGGCTTCAGGGCAAATCTAGGAGAGGCCCAGGGCCAAAATTCTGGAGACATATTAAGTTTTCTAAGAGTGAACCAGGCACGGTGGTTCACGGCTGTAATTCTAGCAGGCTGTAAACCTAGGACACTGAGGCAAAGGGATTGCCATACATTCAAGACCAGCCTGGGCTACATTGTGAGACCATGACCTTGTCTCAAAAAAATCAAAATCTAAAGGAATGAATGCCTTGAAAACCATCTGTGAAGCAGCAGTGAGTTTTGGAACGGACTTGAGAGAAATAGCAGGAATCTGGAAGAAGTTTCTGATCAGTACCCACAATAGCGTCGCAGCCCACAACCAGGATGGGTGGAACTGTGTGCCCGGCAGTCCCTCTGTTGCCAGTGCATAAACCCTGAGACCCAACTTCTCCATGCATGGCATCCGGGGTTCAGGCAGGGCACAGGAGGAAGGAACCAGGCTCACAAATCTGCAGAGTAAACTGCAGAGGCCATCAGAGGAAGGGTGTTAGTGGTGTCCAAGAGTGACCTTCTCTGGCCCATTCCCGAGTACAGTGTCCCAGGCTCCACAGCTACCATGACAATGCCACAGCCTAGGCAGCTGATCAACCACAGAAATACCTGTCCCACAGTCCCAGAGGCTGAGATCAAGGTGCCAGTGGAGGTGGCCCTGGTGACAGTCCACTTCCTGATTCGCTTGTGGTGCCTTTCTAAGGGTTACTGTGTTCATTATTTCTGATATCAAATTTCTTTTATCATACCCATTCCCAGAAAGACCCTGTTATCACAGGAGGAAAGACCTGTTGCCAAAGTTCATGTATTTATTAATCATCAGGTGTTGAGCCCTACCCTAACCCTGCTTTTATGGCTGAGGCCTACCCTTTATATCTGGGCCAGAGCCTAATAATCAGGTAGGCGACAGACCAGAGACTCTCGATGGGCCAGATCATTCAGCAAGAATATTTGTTCTGAATTCAACTGGAATGGGGAACAACTGCAATTATAAAGATATATTAGAACCCTGCAGGACAGTAGGGAAGTCAGAGTACCTTTCTAAAAATCTGTAGGAAGTACATGCATATATGTTTTCAATGAAGAAAGTATAAAAAACTAATTTTCACAAACTTAAACAACTATAAAATGTTTTACAAACTTTTATGAAAGCTACTCATTTTATGACACTGTGTCCTCATCCACCTTATTCACCAAATCTGGATCTGTGTGACTTCCAGTTCCCCTTCAAGGTCAAAATGACCTTGACAGGGAAACATTTTGAATCCATGAGGACATCAGGACATTTATCTGACAGCACAGCTAAGGACAGTGCAGCTAAGGATACCTGTACCTGTGGACTCTGCAACATTGGGGGTCCAGATATTCCTTCACTCATCTGTTCAGCAAATACAGGCCAACTCCAGCATGGACCTGGCTGTCCAGGTGCTGTGATATGGGGAAAAATGAACAAACTCCCTGAGCTCATGGAGAATTTTTGCAAAGGGAAAAGAAGTTGGGTGAGTGGAGAGTGTTGCCTGCTGATAATACAGCTAAGTGAGGCTGGGCTGTGGGCCGGGCGTGCACAGACCCCATGAGCACCAAGGAGCTCCACCTTCTCCTGATGACCTACCTAGCTCCACTGTCCCCAGCACGCCCTGGCCACGTGCAGTGTGTGAATGCCAGTATCCTCTGTACCCCAATCCCTAATAGCTCGGTTTTCCAGGACCACTCTGGATTCCCTGCTCACTGTGCCTCTTTGGTCAATCAGTCACTGAATTGATCAGTAGATTTAATTTTTAATTAATTTTTATTAATTCAAAAAATAAAAATTGTCCACATTTGTGTCTTTGAACATGGTCTGACCCATGCAGGCATTGTGTTACAGTTAAAGGAATACAATTAATATGCACAACTTCCAATTGCTATTATGATAAGAACTGGTAAAATCTACTCTCCCAATAATTTTCAAGTGCATGAGGGGTTGGTGCACAATATTTCTCTTCAATAAATAAACTCTCATCTCCTAATTAAAACTTCCAGTCCTTTGACCCACATCTCCCCAGTCCTCTACTCACACCCAGCCTATGGTGACAATTGTACCGTCTGCTCCAAGTTTAATTTTTTGGATTGTATGTTGGTGAGCTATTTGTCTCCCCATGCCTGGCCCATTTCACCTAGCATAATGCTCTCGATGATGTCAAAAAGGATGGAATTCTTTTTTTCTTTTCTTTTTTTTTTTTAACTGTATTTAGTACAGGGTCCCAATATGTAGATCGGACTCGTAGTGATCTGCCTGTGTTCAGCCTCCCAAGGCTGGGATTACAGGCGCGCACCACCACGCCCAGTCTCAGTCACTGTCTCAGTGTGCCCTGGGGGTGGGGCTGGCATGGCACGCTGGGGATGGAACCCTGCACCCTACATCTGCATAAGCAGATTCCCTTCTTTTTAAAGACTGAACAGTATTCTATTGTGTGCCTGTACCACACACTCATCTTATGTATTCATTGATGGATGTGTGGGCTAGTTTTGTATCTTGAATATTGTGCATAATCCTGCTAAGGAATCAGGAGTGTGGGTGCCTCTCCAAGGTACTGATTTCATTTCCTTTGGAAACAACTGGAATGCTGCAACAGTGGACTGCAGGCTTCCTGGCCACTTTCTGTCAATTGTTTGAGACAGCGGTGCGCTGTCCTCTCTGAGGCTTGTCCCCCTTTACCTTTCCCAACGCAGTGTGCTCAGGCTCCTTCTTTCCACCTCCTGACCACAGCCTGTTTTGAACTGTTTTGAAAATTGCCATTGTAATAGGTGCGAAGCGAAAAAAATGATTGTGGGGTTTTCCTTTGCATTTTCTGGGGATCTGCAGTGCTGAGCATCTTTTGTGTATGCTCCCCGGCCATGTGTATGGCCTCCTTGGAAAAGTGTCTACCTGGGTGCCTTGACCACATTTAAATCCGATTTTAAGTGTACTTGTTATCAGCTGTTGAGTACCTGCGCGAATGGGTCACTAGCTCTTGGCGGAGGATACATCTCTTCTGTTGCTGGTCTCTTCACTCTTCGATTATTTCTTTGCCCATGCTGAAGCCTTTTCACTCAGTACAATGCCACTTGCCTCTTCTTCTTATATGTCCTGGATATTTTTGGTGATTAAAAAAAAAATCATTGCTCAATCCAGTGTCACGGAGCTTCCCCCTGTGACTTCTGTAGTCCTTCCACCATATCAGTTCTTTATGTTTTTAATCCACTTTGAGCTGATTTTTATATGTGATATGAAATGAGTATCTAATTTTATTTCCCCATATGTGAATGTCTTCCAACATCATTTATTGAAGAGACTGTTCCTTCCACATTATGAGTTTTTTATGAACTTGGTCAAAAATCAAATTACTGTAAATGTATGTGGGTTTCTTTCTGGATTCTCTGTCCTCTTCCACGGATTGATGTGTCTGGTTTTATGATAGTACCATGCAGTTTTGATTGCTGTGGTTTCATAATATAGCTTGAAATCAGGTAGTGTAATGCCACAAGATTCTTTGGCTATTTAGGGTCTTTATGTAGACAACGTACGTTGTCTATATTTTATTTTATTTTATTCTTTATTATTGTCTACATTTTAAATTGTTGTTCTACTTCTGTGAAGAATGCTTTTGAAATTTTGGTGGGAATTACATTGTATATATGAATCAATTTGTGCAGCACAAGGGACATTGTAACAATAATAATTCTGCTAATTCACAAACACAAGCTATTTTTCCATTTTTAGGTGTCACCATCAGTTTCTTTCATCAGCATGTTACAACTTTCTGTACGCACTTCTTTCACTTCCTTGGCCAACTCCCACAATGTAGTGTAGCTAGTGCAAATGGAATCTTTTTCTTGATTTTTGTTTGGATAGTTTATTGGTAGCAAACAGAAACAATGCTGATTTTTGTGTGTTGATTTTGTATCCTGCAACTTTACCAAATTAGTTTATCAGTTCTGTTATTCATGGAGCCTAGAGGTTTCTAAATCACAACCTTAACAAACAAGAGAGAAGTTAATTTCTCCATTTCATAGTGAGATGCCTTTTCTTTCTTTTTCTTGCCTGGTCACTATGCCCAGGGCTTCCAATATTGCACTGAACAGAAGTGGGCAGAGTGGGCGTCTGGGTCCTGTTCTGACCTTAGAGGATGCAAGCTCAGCTGCTCACCATTGGAGGGGTGCGTGATGTTCCTCCCCTCCCACTAGGCTCAGTTTGCTTTTTATCTACGATACCAGGTTTTCTATTTGACTTTTTTTTTTTAATGTAGACATTTCTTACTATGAACACTTCATTGTATTGAGGGACATTCCTGCTTAAACTAATTATTCCTTTAATGACACAAGGACGTTGAATTTTGTCACAAGATTTTTTTCTGAATCTATTGATGTAACCAGGGTGTTTTGTCCTTCATTCTTAATGCAGCAGATGACATTTACTGACTTTCACATGTGAAATCATCCTTGTGTTGATTATGCTGAAGGGCTGATTCTCTAAATGTTCTCCTGTGTTTCATTTGTGAACATCATGCTGGGTGTTTGGTGTCAGTGCTCACCGGAGAACTGGCCCACAACTTACTCCCTCTCAGTGCTTTTGTCCGGCTTTGGCGTTGTGCATGGTGAGCTTGAATATATTCTTATTTTTCACTCCATTTGGGAGACTTTGAGGACTATCAGGATTGTTTCTCTGAATGCTTTGTGGAGCTGAGCAGTGACACTTTTGGCCTTGGACCTTTGTCTGGCAAACAAGGAGGCATCCATTGCTGACCTGGCGTCATGACTTGACTTTGGTCTGCTGGGATGTTCATGGTCTACGTCAGTCAGCCTCAGTAGGTTGTATATTCCTAGGAATTTACAAAGTTCTTCTAGGTTTTCCAGCTTAACTTGTGCAGATTATGGTACTTCTGTGGTTTCTGTTTTGCTGTCTTCTCATTCCTTTTTGGTTTCATTTGAGTCTTATTTTTGTCTTAATTTACATAAGGGTTTGTCTGTTTTGTCCACCTTAAAAAAAAAATCAGCTCTTTATTTCCCCAATTCTGCTATCTTTCTACTCTCCATTTCTTCTCCGACCTCTTTTATTTCCCTTCTTCTTCTCCCTTACATCTTAAGCGGTCCTACTTTTTCTAGTTCCCTTTGGTACAATGTCAGGTTGTTTATAATCTTTTCCCTATTGAATGTAGGCATTTATTACTCTGAATTTCATCTCAGAACTGTTTTTACTGCATTCCATAGGTGTGTTCTCTGATAGGTGTTTTGCAGGTGAACACGCAGCAGAGAAACAGGCAAAAGAAAAAAGGGAAAGGGGCCTTATTTTCATTAAGGACACGGAGAGAATTTGGGGAGGTCAAGGAATTCTCTGAACTGTACAAAGGAAGGCGGAGGCTGTGATGGCCTTTTGCCAGGGGTGAGGTTGGAAGGGCATGTTTAGATATAGCTGAGAAACTGATTTGGGCTCTTCCCCGAGGCAGCGGGAAGGGTGAAAGAAAATTATACCCTGGGTTGAGTTGGAGAAGAAGTGGGAGGTGGTCCTGGGAGCACAGGCCTTTGTTTTAAGGGCATCAGCCATATTAGATGACCACCACAATAATTTTAGCAATTCACACTAGGGCCCGAACCTGTCATTCTCATTTTCTTTTGTCTCAAGATATATTTTAATGTCTCTTTTAGTTTCTGTTTTGATGCATTGGTTGCTTCAGAGAGCTTTGTTTAGTTTCTACATATTTATAAATTTCCTGAAATTACTCCTATTATTATTAATTATAATTTTTCTGAATTTTTGAGACAGGGTCTCACTATGTAGTTCAGGCTAACCTTGAACTCACTTTGTAGTCCAGGCTGGCCCTGAACTCACAGTGATCCTCCTGGTCAGCCATCCAAGTGCTGAGATGACAGGCCTGTACCACCACACCTGTTGTTGACCTCCAGTTTCATACTGCTGTTGTTAGGAGGCATACCTGATATGACCGTACTCTTCTTTAGTTGGTGAGGTCTATTTTGTGGCTTCCTGTGGTCTGTGGGCTTGAGAACATGTGTGAGAAGAGTGCAGTCCAGTGCTGTTCCACGGATGGCCCTGTGTCTCTCCATGTGGTGACTGGGCCTAAACATGGTTCAGAGCTACTGCAGTCTGAAGGACTCTGTCCACTGGGACTCACTCTATTCTAACTTAATTGCTGATGTGGCCATGAGGGAGAGCCTTTTGGAAAACAATGGTGTTTCAAGGGTTCTTCCCTCAGGATGGGAAGAGATGGAAGAGGGTTTTGGGCCCCTTCTACCACCCACGGAGGGCAAGAAAGCACCATGAATGAGCATCCAGATCTGCTGCTCACTGGAACTCGGACCCTCAACTGTAGGAAATCAACCTATGTTGTTTGCAAACACCTTGGCCTTAGATATTTTGTTTTAGTGTCCTTAACAGACCAAGACAAGTGTCTGGTGTTTCCTTGCTCTCTCCTGCCTGGATGGCTTGCCCTTTGTTGAGAGTGGAGTCTGGAAGCCATACATTGTGGTGCCTGAGGGTCTGTTTCACCCCAAAGGCCTCTGAGCAACTAGGTGCTCCAGTTGGGGATAAGCACATGTATTTAGTTGTTACATCTTTTTGATTAACTGACCCCTTTATTATTATTTAGTGATCCTGTTTCTTTGTACAGTTTGACTTTGTCTATTTTCTCCAAATGTGGCTATTCCTGTTGGCTTCCATTTGCCTGAAGTATTTTTTTTCCACTCCTTCACTTTTAGTCTATATCCTTAAAGGTGATGTGAGTCTCTTGCTGACCCCATATAAGGGATGGGGGTTGTTTGTGTGTTTTGCAGTCCAACCTGGCCTTGAACTCATAATCTTCCTACTACAGGTTCCCAAAGTTCTCAGCATTTGGTCCATTTACACTTAAGTGACTTTCGTAGAAAGGACTTATACCTCTTCTGCTGTCACCCTATCAGTCATCATCCAGCTGCCTTGCAGAGGTCTTGTGCCCTTCTGGAGGTCTTCCTCTGTGATTGGATGATTTTCTGTAGTGGCTTCTTTTTATTTATTTATTTATCTGGACATCTCATACACACTGTACCACTGCACTACCTGTATTTCCTGGCTTCTGTATACCAGGTTAGAAAAGACAGCAACCCACAGTGTAGACAGCCAAGTCCCAGTCTCACCTGCAGGGTGAGGGTGTTTCTGGAACCTTCCTCTGGGCACCTAGGGTTTCATAGAAGCTGAGCATGTGATGAGCAGGAGGTGCACATGGTGAGTCCCTGAGGGCTGGAGGATGCCAGGACCAGGTGCCCCCTCATGTCCCAGCCTCGGAGCCAACCTTCCCAGCTCACTGACCCCTGGGGCAGACTTCTCCAGGCCTGTCTCCATGGATAAGCCTGCACCTTGGGCAGAAAAGCTGAAGTCTCATGCTGCAGTAAGAGGAGAGAGTGACATTGTTAGTGTGATGATCTAGAGTGTGTGTGTGTGTGTTTGTGTGTGTGTGTGTATGTGGTATGTGGTACATGCATATGAGTGTATGTGTGAGGTGCAGTGTGTTGAGTGCTATCTTGTGTGTTCATGGTGCAACCTGTGTGTGCATGTGGCATAGTGTGTGTGGAATGCTATACACTGTGTGTCCATGTGTGTTAGGCTGTGCAAAGTTGGAAGCTGTGCACATTTCTGCCCGTGCACAGCACAGTAGGCACTTGGATTCCTCAGAACCTCTCTGCTGTAACACAGACATATTTTGCTCCGAAGAACACCACAAAGGACAAATATTCATGGGCAGTGATCCCCTGTGCCTCTGTTTGTTTGTTTGTTCCCAGTGCTTTTGGAATTGCTGTGCCTACTCACACTCTTCCTGCAGGTTTGTTGCTGTAAGACAAAGTGGGTGATGTAGGCTTACCTCTGCAGGGGACCCCATGACCCGCTGAGCTGGGAAAAAGCCCCCTGGGGTCCGTACCTCAAGTCATACTTGCTGAATGAGCTTCGGGCCATGTGCTACTGAGTGGGGTCATCTGATAAGTAATGGTGACATTAACTGCTGAACTCTTGTTTATTGCAGCCCCACCCCCGAGAAGGCAAAAATGTGACCACTGGACTCCATGTCCCCCCAACACCTATGCCTACCGGTTACTGAGTGGGGGAGGCAAAGACAGGCATGCCAAGATCTGCTTTGAGGATGAGCTGTGAGTATCAACATGGTGCTAGGGGTTTGTCCCTTCCTCAGAACCGGCCCAGCAGAGGCCACATGTCCCCACCAGGTTGAGGCCAAATGGAGACAGGAATGTTACTTGTCCCAGGCCAGGGTGCTACTGGTCCTGCATGGCTGGGTATACAGTGTCCATCCATCTAGGTTTCTTTTGGTTTATGCCTGGAGCATGGGGCAAAGGCCTCCCAAATCATGGACGTGAAGCCTGGCTGGCAGGGCTTCCCAATTGTTCTTGGTGATCTTCCCCTCATGTGTCATGACTTTCACCCACACCTCAAACAGAGTGAGCTAGAGGTATACCCTCCCTGCGACACAGGGAGGCCTCCCATGCCTGGGCTTTTCCATGTGAGGAGAGTTTAATCCATAAGCTCCATTAACTTCGTCAGTGCAGTTCCGTGAGTTGCCCGTTGCTGAGAGTCCCACCCTTTCCTGCACCGCACTGCTTTCCAGAGACTCCACTTCCCTAGTCTTGCTGCTTCAGACCTGCAGGAGCCATTCTTCAGGGGAGAGAGTTTGTCTAGCGTGACATTCAGAGACCAAGACCTGTGCCCTCGGTGCATCAGGGCCAGCAGGCAGCACTGCTGGGAAACATGTTAGTGGCAGGCCAAGAAGGGCATTTTTTCCCCCAAAAGGAATTTCTCCCTCTTATATCAGTATTTCTACTCCAATTTAGCAATGAAGGACCCCTTCTCCACAAGTACTTAGATTTTACATTTTAACTCATTCCTTTCAATTAAGTGACTTAAAAATTAGCATTATGTATCTGTCTTGGTTGCTTTTCTCTCAATACTAGGACAAAATACCCAACACCCAGGATTATGGAAGGAAACGCTTATTTAGCTCATAGTTAGTGGAGGTTTCAGTCCATACTTGGCTGGCTCCAAGGCAGAGTGGCACAGGGCAGAGGGCAGTAGAAAATAGCAAAGAGCAAAGGCAAAAGGGAGGTATGGCGGCAGCTGTGGCAGAGGGGAGCTTCTGTCCTTCCCATTTATTGTGTCCAGGCTATCTGCCCCAGGGTGCATGTAGCATAATCCCAGCAGTACTCAGACCCATAATCCTAGCTTTGGATTATGAATGAATCACAAACTCTAGAACTGCACCCCAATGGCTGTATGAGGCTTTGGGGTACAATTACAAACAAGCCATAAGAGCATCTAAAAGCATACCTGGAGAAATCTTCATGAAATTATTTAATTTTTCTCTTGTTTTTATCTCTGGGGGGCATTAATTTCTGATTTACCATTTCAGTGCTAAGAAAGCTCTTTCTATGTAATTAATACATGCGTATGTTTGTGTTTAATTTATGCACACATGATGTATACATGAGTGTGTACATATATGAATATAAGTGTACCTGTGGTATATGTGTATATACATACACAAACGCACCCCTTCTTATATAAAAGGTTGCAGGCATTGCACAGTTTGCACTGAGCTCTGTGAGCTTAACAGTGTTGTAGAAATGACTCCGTGATAGTATGTGTACATACTGTTTTTCCTCCATTTCTGTTTACTGGTGCATAGTATTGTGTAGCACGGAGGCCATCGTACTCTACCACTGTTTCTAATGAATACAGTTTTTGATATTACAAACAATGCTGCAATGAGCAACCTTGTGAATGTGCTGTCTTGTGATGTGAATGTACTAAGGTGGACACTCGTGTGACCACTGAGTCCAGGGGCTGATACTTGCAACTCAAAGGAGAGCTTAATCTTAGTCACAGTTGTCAGAGGGTGCAGTCCGTGGTTGGTCCACTGTAAGGCAGGAACAGCACAGCAGGAGAGGGAGAACTGCGCACACGCTGGCAGCCAGCCAGGATGCAGAGGAGGGAAGAGGGGAGGAACGGGAAGGAGAGCACACCCTGGGCCGGAAAGAGATCACGCCCCAGAGGCCCACAGCAGGCAGAGCACAACCCTCCAGGTCACTCCCCAGAGACCCACCCCAGGCCAGGCCACCCTCTAACAGCAGGTCTGGCCGGCCCTCAGGAGTGGAGGAATCGGCCAATGAGCACAGCACCCCAGGATCCAGTCACCTCCCCAAAGCCCCACCTCTGAACAGGTGAGACTCTGTGGGACATTCTCGTGTAAACCTTAACATTATCACCAGTATGCCACGGCCCTTGCGTGCCCCTTCCTGGGGCAGCCCCTCTTCCCTTACTGCCTACTGGTGAGGGCCCTTTATTCTCTCCCGTGGTGATCGTTGGTTTTCGTGGTGGCTTTGCTGCCAAAGCATACATTGTGAAAAACACTGTTGCTTCATTTTGTCTAAACTCTGTATGGACAAATGGTCAAAGGCACTGTCTCAGTTGCTCGTCTCTCATTGCTGGGACCAAATACCCACAGTATGCACTAAGTTTCTGTAGGAGAGGCCATTAGGTGAGCCTGTCTGGACGAGAATACTGAAGTCCATTCCTACTCTGTCCGAGTGCAGAAGAGAAAGGTGCTCAGATTCTCCGCAGGATGCTGTCTTACCACTGATAGTAGAACCTGGCAGAGAGTATGTCCATTCATGTGCACACACACACCCCCGTGCGCACTCTCCTGTGTGCCCCCCACAGCTCCTAGAATCATTCATATAGTTACCTTCTCCATGAAAGCCAGGTGATCTTTCTGGTTTTAGGATAAAATAATCTTGAAATTACCGTTTCTTGAATCCATTAAAAAGAAAGAAGTGTAATGCAAGCTGATGATATAGGGAGGTAAACTGGATTAAACCAGGTGGTGGGGTAGAAGGCCCTATAGGGGTGGCAGTAGGATAGCAAACAGGGTGTCACTGGCTCTGTCACATCCCGAGGGATGAGGAGGAAGAGGTATCAGAAAACCACTCCTGGGCTGCAGCCATCTCTCCCGACCCAGCTCGCCAGCCTCAGTGGACAGTGGAAATGCAGGTGCTCGTTGCCACGTGAGCAGGCAGCGCACGTGCAGTGTGACAAAAAAAAGTCCTCTCTCCCCATCCTTTTGCTGGAGTCCACAGAGATGGGCCACTGAGGCGTGTGGGCAGCCAGAGTGGCCGCCTTCCCCGGGGTGCACCGAGCCCTGGCCACCTCCACATGGGCGGCCAAACAGGCTATGCCAGCGCCATCCCGCAGAGCTGCAGCCCGTTGAGAAAGGAGGCCAGGCTGACGTGCGCTCCCGTTGCAGGCTCATGGGCGAGAAGATGGGCAACATCGCAAGAGGGATAAACATCGCCATCGTCAGCTGTAAGTCTGTGTGTTCTTCTCCAGCTTCCATGGGAGTGCTGCAGTGGGACTTCCACAGAAGTCTTGGGCTTTCAGGCACCTGAGATATGGTCCAGTCCAGGGCTCTATTTAACACATTTTAAAGTCATGTACTTGTTTTTATAAACCTCATTCTTCAGACTATTAGTGGTCCCGGTGACAACAAATATTAACTTAAGACTGAATATATAAAAGACTGTATGGTCAGGCTGAAGATGCGCAGGCAGGGGCTACCCACAAGCCCAGGGGCCAGAGCAGGCTCACCAGCTTTCACTCACCGCTGCCCCAGAGGCGGCGTCAGAGCCGAGTGATGCCATCCACCTGTCTCCACTCTGTGACTCAGGGCCTCGTGGAAAGCAAGCCTGGGATTCCTCTCGGGTGCAATTGCCTTGTGGGTCCTAGTGGAGCAGCCACAGCAGCTCTGGGGACAGAGTTCCCTACAGGTCCTTGGCAGGGCTAGTAGTGTGGGCTTCTGACAGCAGGGTTCTAGCACATGAAACAAAATGCTGCCAGGAACCATGGGGATCCTGATGCTTGAGGTATGAAGGACAAGGAAGCACATGTGCCACAGGGGGAAGGCAGAGGGCAGGAGAGAGCGCCAAGATCCAGTCCTGCTAAAGACCTCATGTCATGTGCTGGTAGCAGCAGAGCTCACAGTAGCTTCGGCTTGGAAACAGCCTCTGTGTTGCTTTTCTTCTTTCTTTTTTCTTTTTTGGTAGTACCAGGGATCAAATTCAGGACCTTGTGCTTGCCAGGCAAGGGAGCTATCTCCCCGGCCCCTGTAAGCGGCCTCTGTATCCATCAGCAGATGAAGGGATGAAGGGAACTCCATGTTTCCACACCATGGAGCACCACTCTGCCATAAAGAAGGATACACCAGAGTCATTTATAGAATAGATACATCTCGAGACCATCATGTCCAGTGACATTTAACAGACACTCAAGCTGAAGTGTCACATGGTTTCTCCCACATGAGAAACCCAATGTATAAATACTCAAAGAGCACAATAAAATATGGATAACAGGAAACAGGGAGAGAACAAAAGGAAGGACTCCTCCCCCTTTCAGCGGGAGGAGGAGTAAGGGAAGCGAAGGGGAGGAAAAAGAATTGAGGTGTGTGGTCTGTGTGCCGGCTCCCCACAAGGATAATGGCTATGGTTTCCTGAAAGCATGCACTGCTGAAAGTGAAAAAAGCAAAGCTGAACACAGATGAGGACAGCTGGGGAGCAGATGCCAGCACTGTCCCCGCACCTCTGTCCCCAGCTGGTCTCCTGCTTGGGAAGCAGCTCCTGCAGCCCCAGCCGTCTCGATTTCCCTCAGGGACAGGGAAGAACTGAATCCTCTTGAGGTTCCCAGGGCCAGGCCAACACCTCCCTGCTCCGGGAGCTCCCTTTCAAATGCTATTTCTTTCACTTTCAGATGAAACTGGGAAGGTGACAGCAACGCGATCTTTTGATATGTACGAAGGCGGTAAGGAAGCCCTCTTCCTGTCAAAGTTAAGATGATTTTTAAACATAAGGCAGACCCAGAAGAGAAACCAAGGCACCAACTGAGTAAGAAACAAAAAACGAGACAGTATGCACTCAGCCTGTATTTCTAGGGTGTAGGTTCATCGGACGCACCTCTCTATTGCAGGCCTGAGCTTCCTACTCCAACATGTCACCCTCGAGCTGGGCATGGTGGTACCCACCTGCTATCCCAGCACTCTGAGAGGCTGAGGTGGGAAGATCACGAATTCAAGCCCAGCCTGGGCAGCTTAGTGATTTACAAAGACAGTATCTCAGAAATTACAACAATAATTAAAAAGGGGGGGAAAATAAAAATAAAAAGGGGGGACTGGGGTGATAGCTCAGTAGAATAAGTGTTTGCCTGGCAAGTACGAGGGCCTGAGTTCAATCTCTGGTTCCGCAAAAAAAAAAAAAAAATAAATAACAATAATAATAATTTATCAATAATATTATGGAAAAAAATTTTAAAATGCATAACAAAAATAATAATCATAATAATTAAAAGGATTGTGGGTATAGCTTAGTGCAAAGGCCCTGGGTTAACTCTCGAGTATCACAGTGGAGACAAAAGGATGTCCTGCTGGGGTCTGACCCCTCAACCTGGACAGCTGCAGAGGTGGGTGCAGGGCTGGCTCAACTCCTTCAGGGTCTTGTTTCTCCCGTCATTTTCAGAGGAGCTGCTGGCCCAGCTCCTTGCTCAGGACGAGCTGTCTTCTGGCATCCCTGTCACTCACCACAACACTCCTGTGAGATGTCCATGCAGTGCCTCTATCAGGTCCCCAGGGGTCTGCAGAAAATTTTGAGGGCAGGTTCGCTGGTCAGGCCCAGCTCTGGTGGCCAGGAGTTGGATGGCACAAGGAGGTCAAGGCAGAAGGGAGCCCTGGCCAGGCCAGGCTTCTGTGGCCAGTGAGGACTCTCACCACCTCCCGGTGACCCTGCAGATAACTCCACACCCATGATCCGGTTCATTGAGAGCGCACCCACCAAGTCCCTGCTGCTTATGGTGACCCACGACGATGGAAGCACCAGGTAATGGGACAGAGCCGCCATGGGGTTCCTCACACTCATGCTCCAGGGAAGATGGGAGGTCCATGGGCTTCTTCCAAGCAGAGGAGTGGCAATGGTAACCATGTGTCACAGCAGAGGGACCAGAATTTGTGGGCACTCCGACCTGCCAGCCTTGGCCAGCAGACACGGGGTGGACCCGGCTCAGCTCCTGCATGTAGGAAAACCAGCCCTAGGTGGGATGTCCAGGAAGAGGGGAGGAGATAGAGGGTGTTTCTGCACATGAGGAGCAGAAGGTGCAGACAGGCACTCATGCACACGCACACACCCACCTCCGGACTCCAGCACTGCCTGAATGTGTCTGCCCTCCAGTTCCTCAAGGCTCTTCTCCCCTCTCACTCACTTCCCTGTCACTGAGGAAGAGGCCCTACTGCTCTTCGCTTGCCTCTGCCCACCTTATGCCAGGGTCCGCAAGGACTGCCCGTGGTCCTGGCTGAGTGTGAGGCTGGGGCTGAACCTGAACATGAGGGCCTTTCTGCATCAAGACAGAAGATTCTGTGTCCCAGATGCCCAGCTGGATATGCCGGCCTGTCATTCTGGCACTCAGGAGGCTGAGACAGGAGGATTGCAGGCTCAAGCCCAGCCTGGGCAACAGATGGGTTTAAGGAGATGCTGTCTCAAAACAGAACGGGTGTGGTGATGTAGCACAGTGCAAAGGCCCCAGGTTCAGTCCCCAGGCCTGCAAACAAACAGGCCAAAGGGGGCTCCAGATAGGACCCGCTATTAGCCAGAAAAGTGAGGTGCTCCCCATCACGCCTGCCTGGTTGGCTGCCATCTGGCACCCATCCAAGGACAGCAGCAGGACACAGCAGGGCCAGGAGTCCTTCCCTGGTGCATGTTGTCTTGGGGACCCATCCTCACACTGCCTCTTCACCTCCAGACTGAAGGCTGATGCCAAGAAGGCCATTGAGGCGCTGGGAAGTAGACAAATTCGGAATATGAAGTTCAGGTCCAGCTGGGTGTTCCTGGCGGCCACCGGCTTCGAGCTGCCCGCAGGACTTCCGAGGGAAAAGGTGAGCATGTCCGGGGTCCCTCCCCAAGCACTGCTGCCTGCATTGTCTGCCCCCATGTGGGACATGGCTGCTGGGAAGAGAATTGGTTCAGGGGCAAAAAGTGGGCTGTGTGGCTGGGGACCTAGCCACATCCTCCCACCCCGAGGGAGGCACCTGCTCACTTCTGATTCAGCCTGGACACTGGTCCCAGGGTCTGGGCACAGGGCCAGCAGGAACAAGGTCAAACTGGAGCAGTATGACCTCCTAAGGTGGTGGCCGAGGGCTGGGGCAGGTGAGACCCATGACCTTCTGGGACCCCTGTCCTCCCCAGTGCTGCGACTACATGCATGTGCTATATGTAGAACTCTCTCAGCTTGATGTCAGAAAGAGCACCCTCACAGGGAACACAGGGGTGGACACCTGTTTCTTCAGAGGAGATGCACCAGGCAGTAAGTAGTGGACAGGGAAAGAGTGTCAGGGATCAGAGAAGAGCGGAGGAGAGGCCATGTTGCCCTGCCCTCACGGGACAGCTGCGAGCACTGAAGGGAAGTTCCCTCTGCCCTACACTGCAGAAGAAACAGCGACGGCACTGTGGTGCGCAGAGACCCAGGGTGGAAGCGGCTTCAGCCATTGCCAGATGGAGGTGCAGGCCAAAGCACGGCTTAGCTGTGCCGCGGGGGTTCTCCCTCCACCTAAGAACTGCAGGTCCAGTGCTTGACATCCCTAGCACAAGTCTGAAGACAGCATGCCTAGTGACAAGATCCAAGCATAAAGTCAGTGTGTGTAGGAATCATGTGAGGTCCCCAGAAGAAGCAGCAGGCTAGGAAAGAGACAGAGGCCTCTCAGAGGTCCTGCAGGTCCTCGTCGCGGGAGGAGATGCTTTGGGAATGACCAGAACATTGGCTGCACATCTCACCAGGACAGTAAATCCATGTGGTGTCGAGAACTGAATTCAAAGCCTTCACAATGCACTACATGCCCAGCCCTTTTGTGAGTTTTTATCTTGAGATAGAATCCTGCTTCACTGGCTAGGCCAGCTTGAACTTGTGATTCTCCTGCCTCAGCCTCCCCGAGTGCTGGCGTTACAGGCATGCGCCTCCACACCTGGCTTTAAGAGTGATTGTACAGTGTGGGAATCACAACTCACTGATGTTCTGTTATAGGAGGGGTGTGGAGCTAAAGTCCCAGAGCAGAACGCACGCTGTTTCACCTAAGTGCTAGGCGAAGGTGCTCCGGTGGCTGAGAGAGCTGAATCTGTAAAGGGCAAACCACAGCTTGCATGTGAACACGCACACTGCCGAGCGACACACTCTAAAGTGCTTGGAAAAATACGAGCTGGGGAGGGGAGGGGACTGCAGGGAGGACGAAGACACGTTTATAGCCCTGCTCCCAGTGAGGAATTCATGATGCACCGCAAACCTGAACTAATAAAGCCTTTTTATTTTAAAGACTCAAAGTGAAAAAAATACATCCCTGCTCCAGAGTTGGAAGCTAAACACCACAGCTATGTTTTCCAACATGGTAGCTACCAGCAGCCAAATTTGCATTTCCATTTTAATTTATTAAAATTAGATAGAAGTTAACATCCAGTCCACCCAGCCGTTTCTTAACAAATGTGGCTGATGGCCACGCAGTGGGACAGCATGTGGAATTCTCCTGAGTCACAAAAAGTCTGACCCTTTGGGCAGTGGATCCTGCACTGGGAAGTGGCTCTGTTCATGTGGCTTTGCTCACAGCTCACCGAGGTTAAATATCTGTCCCCTGTCTTAGTGAGTAATAAAACTCTTTCTTTTCCTTCATGCAGATCAACCATTCTGATGATTCCAAGAACAGGTACTCCGGCTGGCCGGCAGAGATCCAGATCGAAGGCTGCATACCCAGAGAGCAGAGCTAGCACCCGGCGGCCCTCAATAAATGTGTTTGTGTGACAAGGCAGCTGGAGCAGTCCGAGAAGCCTCTAGGTCCCATCGTCCATACTTGACAAGCTTGGCGTCAGCCAACAGACTGCTTTTGGCTGTGTGATGTCCTGGCACACGATAGGATCACACACATCCAGGGCTGTGCAGGGTGGCCCCACTGAGTGCCCCGCCACCTGCTGAGCTCACCTCACCCCACACTCCTCTCCTGGGGCTGGAGCAGCTGCATGAAGGGATGGGCAGGGTCCTGGATGGGCTCCTGCTGTGCTCCTGAGCGCCCCCTGTGGGCTGCGGACTCATTCCTTGGCTCCATCTGTGTGCTCCTACCTTCTGGCCAGGCCCCACTTCCTGTTAGTTGGCAGTGGGCGGGGCCGACTGGACCTCAGGAAAACAGCGTGTATCCGGGACACGCCAAGACGCATCCTGTCCAGCGGCCAGAGTCAGGGGTTGAAGGCCTAACATCCCTGGGACCAGGGTCGCTGCCCGGAGTCGGCAGAGTCTCCCTCCCTAGCGTGCAATGGAGAAGCTGAGTCTTTGGTACCAGTGCCGTTACTTCTCTGGCCTCTGCAGCCCATCTGCTAGATAGAGGAGCAGGGGCAGGTGCCAGGTTCAGGGCCATTTTGTTGGCAGGACTCCTGTAGCAGCACAGAGGCATATGACACCCGGAATTCCAGGGCCCTACGGTAACAAATTCCCCAAACTGGTGACGTGAACCTCTTGGGAGGGAACAGAGCTGGGCCATGCAGGTGCAAGTAAGGTCCCAGAGTCCGACTTGGGGGTTCTCAGAGGGCTCAGCCCCTTCCCAACAGCCCTGTAACCGGTCTCTGCTGCCCCTTCAGGTCTCACTTTTTGGGAGGGAAGGGGCATCTTGGTGCAGGCCACATGTTCACTTAGTGTTTATCCAGCTTGGAACCCCCTACCAAACAAAGGGACCCAGTGAGAGATCTCTGGTGGGACAGAGGCTGGAGTGACAAAATAAGCCCTTTGTAGTGTGATGTGTTTCTGCAGACCCAGGGTGAGATCCTGATCAAACCCCAGAAGCAGAATGTCTGTGTGTAATGGGAAATTGGTACCCAGCAAAAAGCCTGCACAACCCCCAGCCTGCCCCACCCTTAGTCATCACAAATCCGCAGTTCTGCGCATCACACGATCGGACAATATGTGCCTTAGTTTGCTTCATTTCACTTAGAGAACGCCTCAGACATGTAGGTTAGGGAATGCTTCTCAGGTTACCTCTAGGGGACCTGAAGGCTGACTTTGCTGAAAACACGGATGCCGCTTGAGCGTGGAGGTGTCTGAGAGGTGACCAAAATGGTCTCACCCTGTGGCATTTTGGTCTTCATGTGGTTTCTCCATCCATTGGCCATCTTACCCTTGCAGTCAGGCTCTGGTCAGCCTGGCATGTAGACAAGTTGGTCATTTAAAACTGATTGCTGTGACCTACAGCACAGAGCTAACTTGGCTCCTGCTATTGTCCACACTGCCTAAGACAGAAGTCACAAGTAGGAAACAGGGTCACATGAGTGAGGCATGCTTGGGGGCCGCATTGCAGCACAGAGGGGCCATACACAGGAGGAAGCCCTGGACTGACCAATGGGATAGAGAAGGAACAGCCCCACCCACAGGCAGTCTCCTGCATCTCATGTGCCTGTTTGGGGATTTTTGAAGGCCATCTGGAGGTTACAGGACAGAGCCATCTGGTGTAGGGCCGTGTTTCAGACAAGCAAATATCCCCCTGGCATATCTCCCTGGCCACAGGGCCTCAGCTGGACAAAAAATAGCTGCTTCGGTTCCTGTCATTTCCTGCAAGAAATGACAAGATAGAGGGCTGGTGACATTAGGGCTGTTGGCCCTTGGGAGCTTCAGGGCCCAGCAGAGTCCCCAAGAAGCAAAAGTGGCAGAGTCCAGTGAGGGCTACAGACACCAGGAAAAGAGCCGCAGCAGAGAGGCAGGGGAAGGTGCTCATAGAGCTCAAAGGCATGGCCAGCATCTCCAGCTGCTGTGGAACTGACAGCGTGGCGGGTTCTATTAGAAGATGCAACGCTGAGAATTAAGGAGATGCCAGCATTCAAAGCTGGAGCTGTAATGCCTGGGGTTAAAGGGGACTGCTGCCCCAAGCCCAGAGCCACTAATGTCAAGAGAGCTCCACTTTAGCAACTTTTGATTTCTATCCAAATTGGGCTGAAGAACCCTGAGCTGCTTGGTAACAATGAGACAGTCAGATGCTGTTATGGCTTCTGTCTATCTAGATGTCATACCAAAGCCTCCTGCACCCATAGCTGGAGCTTTACAGCTGGAGTGACTGGATGTGGGGTGTGTCAATCTGTGTTACAGCTATGTGCTAATTAATTAGTCCACTGATTATTGTAGCAGGTTTGGGTATAGATAATAGGAAAACCCATCGTGAATGTGGATGGAACCTAGCAATAGACCAGTAGCCCGAATGGAATAAAAAGAAAAGGGAGGCTTGCTGCTGGCCGCCTGCTCTCTGCCCTGCCATGAAGTGTTTCTCTGCCAAGACGTCTCTTCTGTGGAGCCAGCTTAATGTGCACTGAAACCTCGACAAACTGTGAGCTAAAAAACAAAAACCAAAAAACTTCTCCTCCTTTAACTGTGGGTATCAGGTATTTTGTCCCAGCAGCATGAAAATAACTAAGATGCTGATGAAAGGAAGGCTTGAAAGTTGATTTTACAGTTCTCTCTGATGAGGACACTGAGCTGGAACCAGTGGAATCCAGGGAGGTGGGAGTGGATGTACCCCAGGCATTCAGACCATGAGACCAACCAAGACTCACCTGGGGCCCAGGAAACACACTGAAAGGTTGAAACACAATCATAGTCAAAAGGAAGAGAAGGGAAAGGGAGCTGGGCTTGGCATCTGAATTGACCATCACGTAATGGTCATGTGTTTCCAAAATCCAAATAACAATGCTACTCCAGCATCAGAGTCACACATTGCTCTTGAGGACACCAACAGTGTTGCTTCCCGGCTGTGAGACTATGCCCAAGCTTCTCAGCTTGCCCAGGTGCCCTGTCTTCTTACATAAAGACAGCGTGGCATCCTAACAGTGTCAAGTCTGACTTCTAGCCCCATGCCAGCCAGTAAGATGAGAGACAAAGTGTGGAGGCAGGGGACCAACTTTATGTCAGAAGCTGACTAGAGAAGCCCGGGGGATGCTTGTCACAAACCCCACCTTTCTGGGGAAGCTGATATAGGGTGGTTTATGCAGCAGTTGATGGGTGTTTCCAGTCTGGTAGACAGCTTATCATAGCTGAATGGTACACAGGCATCACGTAGCACCTACTTATGGAATTTTTTCAGCTTTTGCAAATTCCAAAAAGAAAGATAATTCTTTCCTTGGGCTATTCCTACCTCCAATTAGTTGCATATTACATAATGGATATGTTGAGGACAGTCATTACATTACCATAGGCCTTCTTGCTGATGGCCAAACTCCTGGCAATGAGGGAAAACATCCTTCTCGGTGAGCTGCATACTACAAACTCCTTATTTTTTTCCATAATTTTATTGAGAAACGAATAGCAATGAGGCAGTTACAAACCAAATTGGTAGAACAGTTTCAATAATTAACACATTGAGCGGGGCCAGGGAGATGGCTCAGTAGAATAAGCGCTTCCCTGGCAAGTGCAAGGGCCTGAGTTCAATCCCTGGTTCTGAAAAAAAAAAAAAATTAACACATTGCATACATTCTTCCTAGTGATTAAATTGTTGTACAAGATGCAGACATGATATCCTATTTACAAACACTATTAGAACAAATCCTTCTATTCATTAAGAGAATGTAACTATATATCTATCCTAACCATTTTGAATACACAGATACAAAATGGCCATTCATCTGTATCCCTTTTTTTTTTGTTAAGTTTCATTATTTGAATATTATAGGTGTGTAAACTCAGCAAAATATTCTAAAAGAGTCCAGTAGCCCATAATAGTATTGGGTCTCCCGCTTTACTGTCAATGTCAGAAATTGTTGACCTGAGTTACAAACTCCTTATAATCATTGAGGACACCCTAATGCTTGGTTTCAATGTCAAAGAAGTGTATGGTAGCAACACCTATAATTTCAGCACTTTGGAAGGCTGAGGTAGGAGGATCACAAGTGCAAGCCCAGCCTGGGCAACTTAGCAATTTGCTGAGACTCTATCTCAAAATTCAAACATGATAAGTATTAGGGATATAGCTCAGTGCAAAGATCTTGAGTTCAATCCCCAATATGGGGGGGCATAGTTCCATGTACCATGTGGGGGGTCATGAAAAGCATGGGGAGAGAAACTTGATCTTATAGGAATGCTGCTTCCCACACTCTTGCCCCTTCCGTTTAGCCCTTCCCTATTCATCCTTCCTCCATCCATTCATCAATCCCTCTATCCTCCATTTATTTCCCATCCCCCATCCACCCATTTTTCTATCTATCCATTCATCTTTCCCCTATCCTTTATCCACCCATCCATCTCCCCACCCATCCATCCATGCATTCTTCTCTCCATCCATCCATGCAGCATCCATGCAGCTATATCTGTCTCCCATCCTCCATCCCTATTTATCCCCCCATCTATCCCTCATCTATCATCAATCCACCCATCCCTCCAATCCTCTCATTTCTCCTTATTCAGTCTGGGCTTGTGGTCACTTTTGCTAACTTCTCCATACACACACACTGTTATAGGAAGGCTCTGTAAGGGAATAGATTTAATACAGGATGCATAACTTATAGGATTATTTTATAATATTTACCCAAAAAGTCCAATGCAGAAGTATGTAAAAGATCTGTGCATGCAGTAAAGAGCCAGAGAATCCAGCTAGGAGATTGGATCTCGTAGCAGTATCTTACATGAGTCCAGCTGGAGGCCAGGAGCCCACAACAATGTCTCGTGCAAGTCTGTATCAAGGATCTGCACTGAGAAGACCCAAGTTCAGGGCTGGAAGCTAGAAAGCCTGTGCTGGTGGAGTGAAGGATCTGCACAGCAGTCTGAGGGATCTTACCTGAAGTTGGGCAACGATGCACAGGATAAAGATCAGTGTGCCCCTGAAGAAAACTGCAGCCATTCTCAGTGACTGTGAGGACTAATCTCCTCCAATAATGAGAACAGCTGAGTTCATATCAGGAAAATCAGCTCCATCAGCTTCTCCAGGAAAATCAACAGTACAACATCTTCCCCTCCAGTTCTACTTTTATGCTATTGGCAACAATCCTCAGCTAGGCCTTGTCTCTGTTACTTTTCTCTCACTGCCAGGACAATACCTGACATCCAACATTAAAGAAGTGCCACTTACTTGGAGAGCTTGATCCTCCCAGCGCCCCTCTTAGGAGGAGCTTGGATCTTTGCAGCAGCCATGACCACTTCCTCGGAAGAGCTCTGGTCTTCTTAGTCCGGGTAGAAGAAAAAGAGAGGCTTGATAGAGGTCGCAGATGCTGCTCCTTCTCTGTTCTTGGTTGTTTTCTGCCACTATGAACTGCTACCATTTGCCTTGGAGCCAGCAGAGTGTGGACTGAAACCTCCACTAACTGAGCTAAATAAACCTTTCCTTCCTTAACTTTGGTGTCGGTATTTTCTCTCAGCAATGAGTAAAAAGTAACTGAGACAACTCCTCCCATCAGAATAAGGATAAGATAGTTCTCTGCTGCCACTGACCAGGACTTGAAAGAGGGGCTTGTTCCAGGTTAAAATTGCTGCTTTCAGTGAAGTTTGACACCGAAGTGAATGTCATCTGTTGCTCTTACAGCAACACTGTAATACTCAAATGCCAGCCTGTGCTCCTCAGAGTGCAGCCAGAATGTGCAGCTATCAGAAAGGATCGGGTCCCTTAAGTTGGGCCAGGGAGGGCAGTCCAGGCAGGCAGGGCTCCCCATGTAACTTTGAAGGAGGCACCTAGGCCAACCCAGAAGGATCAACACCATCAAATCTGCACCCCAGGGACCTCCCTGCCTGCCCTCCCCGGCCTGGTGAAGGCTGTGACTCCTGAGTTTCACATGGCCTGAGGCTTTCTGGATCCTGTCCTAAAAAGAGCCCTGTGGGCAGAAGCTGGCCTAGTGAGAGCTGAGGGGCTCACCCTTGGCCTGCAGGGCAGCAGCCTTGTCCTCCTGCACAAAGCCTAAGCCCCTAAGCTCACAGCCCAGGACAGGTGTTTCTGTAGTTCCTAGGCAGGTAAGGGCTTGGTATGGGCTCCCAGGAGCTCCTGGGACAGCGTAGTTTCTCACCTGTCCTAGCCTGGGGATGCCAGATCCCAGGAACGGGCAGTGCACAGCAATTCCACAGTCCTGGAACGTGGGTCACCTATGCTCTCCAGGCTCCCTGAACCTCACCCAGTTGGGTAACTCTGGCTGGGGAAGCTACTCCCCAGTCTCTGTGGATGGGGGCTGTTCTGAGGCCCAGGCACTAAGCTAAGAGGAGAGCAGGCAACTCTCTGCCACTGCCAAAAGGCCAGGCCCAGCCCTCTCCCGTTCAGATCAGTTTCATTTCTGCTCAAGGCCCACCTCCTGCTCTGGTCACATGGTATAGCCTGTCTGTTTCCTTTTCCCAGGCAGTGCAAGCCCAGCTTTGCATAACGCTGAGCCCTTCATTCAAAACTGCCCAGGGACTGGTGAGTGTTTCTGCCTGAGGTCTCCCTGACAGGACAGGGAATCCTTGGGGACGAGGGTGGGGGATGGGAGGGTCATCATAAGTCATCAATGTAAGAGTAATAGAGATGCAAATGATGCTCTTTGGGCCCTGCTACATGCTGCCCAGCCTCTAGGTGGACATATGGAGCAGCCCCCAGTTGGGCATTCCTGCCGCAGGAGGGCAGGGATCAGTGCTGGGGGTCCTGGGGCACTGGGGTGGGGGCACCTAGTGGGCTATAGTCCCCTGCTGCAGCTAAGCCCCAACACAGATGCTTGCTCTGTGCCTGTGCCTAAGGCAGAAATGTCTAGCTCACTGTCCTTCCTGCCTTGGGACAGGAGATCTGGGGAGACCCAGGGCATAGGCCAAGGGCTGGGGAGGTTCAGCCTTCAAGGGCCACCCGAGTTCCAGAGGTGATATGGGTAAGTGGGGTGGAGGGAGTCCAGGCTCTGCTGAAACCTGCCCTCAACCCCAGGAAGCACGAGCTGCCCAAGTGGGGTCTTGGGATTATCTGATCCCTGGGAAGAGAGTTTTTCCTAGGAAGCAGCGTTGCTCATGTTGACATGCTCAGCCACCCTCCACCTGCCCCAAGTCACTCAAAGGAATCCTAGAAGGTGTGAAGACATCATCTTTCTGCTTGAGGAATTGCAGCTGGAGCCTCCCTGCCCTTCTTCCCTACTGCCCAGAGGCAGGAAGTACACATGGTCAAATTATCAGGGGCTCTGCCCCTTACCATGAATGTTTAAAAGCCACTGGGTTCTGGAGACCAGAACTTGTCAAGGGAAGGACACAGGTCCCAGAGCAGACAGGCTTCTCACCCTGGAGGGAGCCAGTGTGCCAAACGTCTGTGGCCTTGCTGCACCTGCCTGGCAGGCAGCCTCGCTGTGGGTCCTGAGGAGGAGGGGGTGGAGTAACACACCTGCTCCTGTTTGGGGTCTCTTAAGGACCCTTGCTGCCTTCCCAGTCTGCCCAGGCACCTGTGTCCAGTGCTGCTGCAGGTGGCACTGGGAGCCACAGGAAATGCTCACTGTTAAAATCTGGGCAGAAAAAAAAAAAAAAAAAAAAAAAAATAAAAAATAAAAAAAAATAAAATCTGGGCAGAGAGGCAACTGTCCCTCACCTGCCCAGAGGCAGCAGGAGCCAGCATAGGGGATGGAGGGAACCCTGGGTATTGCTCTCTCCAACCCTGACTCTGGGGGATACTATGGGAATTCAGCAGACACCCCCTAGCCTATGCACATGGCATGGAAGGAGAGGCAGCTAGAAAAGGGCTGGCTCCCCTGCAGCTCCTCTGTAAGCTCAAGGTATGGGGGACAACTGAGGAGCAATGTGGGGTGGGGTCAGGGTCAGCCTGCTCAACTCCTCCAAGACCCAACAGGTAGCTGTGACCCAACACCCTGGTTCCCAGGGCATAGAGTAACTGCACAGAGACCTTGACAGCTGAGTTGCACTCTGAGTGCCAGGGATGATGCAGAGGCACAGACTCATGGCCCCCAGGACTGGGCTTTATGGGCAGGTGGGCTCCATCTTCGGACTACATACCTGGGAGACAGATCTCAAAGGATTCAAGCTGTCTGCCCTGGGCCCCATGACCCAGAGCACTCAGTGTGGAGGGGAACGCAGGTGCCTCCTCACTTCATGGTGGATAGGACGAGGGTCAGAGGGAGGGAAGAAGGGGCTAGGGCACTGCATCCCCCAGGGGCATGCCTGCAGTGACCTCCCTCCTGCAACCTTACCTCCCCCATTAGTGGTCCTGCACCCTAATAACAACGCCATCTGGACAAAGCTTTCACCTTAAGAGGTTTGAGGGGCATTTCAGATGTAAATCACAATGCAGATCTCATTTTATGAAACAAACCAAGGAAGGCAGTAGACTCCCCATTTCCTGTTGGGCCCATGGGACATGCTTGAAGGCCACTGAGGCAGTGGTGGCCCTGCAGACCAATGCTGCAGAGAGGCACCGAGTTTTCCCATTGGCCAGTGGAGGGGGAGATATTTTGGGAACAAATTTGTAGATTGCAAAATCCGTGGATTCCCCTTGTAACTGCTGGCCTTTTATAATAATTGCTGCACCCCCACACAAGGAGCGCGTCCCACTGCCCCTGTCCAGATGGCACAGTGAGGGCGATGCTGGGGTTGGGTGCAAAGAGGGGCAACTGGAGGGTAGTGTGGGGATGAGCTCTGAGCGCTGGCCTGGCAGCCACCTCAGGGCTCCCCGACCATGCTCACATATTGGACACCATCTTTCCTTACACAGGAGTGTAAGGAGAGGCAGGATGAAGACGCCTCATCATGAAGAGAAAGAAGGAAAATGTTCTAAGGCCAGGAAGCCCAATGGTCTCATTCTCAGCAAAGATGCTAACAAGGGAGAGGAAGCCCAGGCCAGGGTAAGTTGCTCTCCAAGTGGACAGAAGCAGTGCCCACCTGAGGGGCACAGTGGGGAAGGCCAAGAGAAGGCTGGGACGCTGCTTCCCTGAGATTTTCCTTCATCCTTCCTTGGTGATGCTGCTTGGGGCAACATGCAGTGGCATGGAGAACTGAGTGTGGCTGTGCTGCCTTCTTTGTGTGGGAAAGCAGATGAGATGCTGACAGGCGCATGTGGGACCTTCCTGGACCCCAGGTCCGGGGAGCATGGCACTGGTCTTGTCCACCCCGGATCATTATCCAATCTCGGGCCCCAGGAGGTCTCATGGCACCATTTCTCAGCCAGGGAGCTCCTGTGGTATCTGATTTCATACCATCCAGACCTATTTTTGGCAGGAAGTAAAGGAGGCCTCTAGAATGAGCACCCCCAGTCTTGGTGCTGACACTGCCCCCTACAACTGTCTGACCTTGGAAGTTCTTGCCCCACTTAGCAGCCTGGCTTTTGTAATGTAAGATGGGATTACCTAGTTCCTTGTTATTTTTAAGAGATCTTTCCCTTTGTGAGCACTAGCTGCAAGCTGCAACCCTGTGTTCAAGGCCTAAAAGTCTCTTTAGTTTTATGCAAGTGGTTTTGCCAGCTTTTGGTCAAATTTTAATTCCCAGATGTCTGATACCTTGGCTATCTCTTTGGATTTGTTTTATGCATTCTAATTTTTTCTTTCCCATATTGTTCCTTCAAGGCTTGCATCATTTTCCTAAGCTCATCGATTTTTTAATCTATGTCTTTGTTCGATATCCTGAACAATTCTTTCATTATAGTGGTCATTTCCTTTTTTACCTGAGAGATTATTTCTGATCTGATTTCCTCTATAGCCTCCTGAAGTTATTTCTTTACTTCAGTTGCTATCGTTTCAGAAATTTCAGGTGTGCAACTTCCAATTTCTTCTGTTTTGAGGTCTCCTGGACTTGTTCTGCGTGGGCTGGAGGACTGAGGTTGCAATTTGCTGCTTCATCTTGACATTTTCTATTTAAAAAAAAAAAAAAAAGATAATCTTGGGTTGTGTGAACCTCCTCATTTGGTACTAAGTAGCCATATCACCACTACCCAGGCCCCTCTAGGGAAAATCTGTTCTTCAGGGAGATTTCCTGTGTGCAGAAGGCCCTTGATTTGCATCTGTCCCTTGATGTTGGTGTCTGTTTGGCTCTCTCCTCAGTCCTTAGGCGTAGGGCTGTGCTGAGATTATTATCCTAGAGATTCCCAATATTGTCACAAGTGAGAAAAACTGATCACAACAGATGTGACATCTTAACTACAGTAGTACAATTAACAATACTGATACCATCAAGCACAATTTAGAAATCAATAAACTGTAGTAACTATGGACATTATACGTCAGGCCATAGGAGCAAATCCTACAGTTATTTAACAGAACCAACCATAAATTAGAAGTTTGCATGCAAAGCCTTTCCCCTTATAAGGGTGGATTTACCCAGGACTCCTCCAGACGAGCTGGTTACCATGTCCCAGGGACGTCCATCCCTGGGACAGTTTAGGGGAGGGGGCCAGCCACCAGGGTTTCTTCGAACCGAAGTTCCCTCAAGTGGGTGGGGTTTCTGCCTGCCCATATGGCTCATGGAGCGGATATTTAAATAGTAAGAAAACATAGTAGTTACCACTGTGGTGTCCATTCCATAGTATAGTTGCTGATTTTATGTAAGTGTTTTTCCCCTTTGTTGTGTGGGGGATGAATTAGTCCAGCTGTCCAAGAAAGTCATGATTTTCTGTTAATTTTTAATATTTCTAGTCTTCTGGGCCGGGGAGATGGCTCAGTAGAATAAATGCTTCCCTGGCAAGTGTAAGGGCCTGAGTTCAATCCCTGGTTCTGCAAATAAATAAATAAATAAATAAATAAATAAATAAATAAAATATATATATATATATACATATATATATGTATATATTCTTCTGTTTCATTTTCATGAACACAACAGAGGAATCCAGTGAAGAGAAAGCTACAGATTACTGCCTAAAGCCCAAACTGACTGTTACTTCTCAGACACATGGCTTATACTTCCCAGGCTCAGTTTGCTCATCTACAAAATGGGCTACAATAATCTAAGGTCCTCCCAGACTGGTGGGAGAATGCAGCGAGAGAAGGTGTGTAAGGTGCTGGAGACAGAGCTTGACGCTGCTAATGTAAGCTCTCCTCCATCTTCTTTGTATATAAAAAAAAATCAGAAGCTCAATAAATACTATTTAAAATGCAATAATCACAACTCACTGCCTATAGTGCAATAGTTAAGTATGCCCATCTGGAGGCACTCTAAACTTCTCTGTGTTCACTGACCCTCCGAGGTAAATGTGGGCCACTCCTGCCTTCATTTCAAAATGTATTTTTTCTGGACATAGAATTGTCAGTTGATGGTGTTTTTTCAATAATTTAAAGATGTTGAAAAATGAGGTTATAGCTCAGATGTCTTTGTTGTTTTGTCTTGAGACAGGCTTTTACTATGTAGTTCAGGCTAGCCTTTCACTTACTGTGTAGCCTAATTGGACTAGAACTCACAGCAGTCCTCCTGCCTCAATCTCCTGAGTTCTAGGATCACAGGCATGAACCACCATGCCCAGAGCTCATGTGTAAATTGTACTTTTAGCACATATGAGTTCCTAAATTCAGTGCTGTTACGGTTTGTGTCTCGATGCCCCCTCCCGTGGCCATGAGGTCATAGGAGGGACTTTTTTAGAGGTGGCTGGATCTAGAGTGTGTGACTGATGCGTGGTTCAATGCTAGGATTAAGGGTGCTGGGATTAAGGGTTACAAAAGATTTGTTTTATTAAGGGCGGGTTCACTGAGTGGTTTGACACTACCACAATCCCCGTACCCTAGATAGAATATCAAAAGGGGCAAAAGGAAAAGGAAGCTGCAAAGTTCGTTGTTGATTCCCTGGCTTGCTTTGTGTCCTTCTGCCCATCATAAACTGCTTCTCCTCTGCCCTGTCCCACCCTGCCTTGGAGCCAGCTGATTCTAGACTGAAGCCTCTGCAAACTGTGAGCTAAATAAACCTTTCCTCCTTTAACCTTGAGTGTAGGGTATTTTGTCTTAGAAATGAGGAAAGTAATTAAGACAAATACCAACATCAATAAAAAATTTGTTGGAAAAATTCTTGTCTCATTGTCTTTATAGTGATATTGTTTCTTATTAGAAGTCTGCTGCCCAAGGCTGGGAGATAGCTTGGCAGTCTAAGCACCTGCCTAGCAAGTACAAGGACTGGGGTTTGAGCTGCAGTACCCCCAAGTGTGTTGTGCCAGCCCCTAAACCAGTGTGTTGGCACACCCCTGTAATCCCAGTGCTTGGGAGGTGAGATGGGAGGATCACTATGAGTCCAAACTGCATAGCAAGACCCCATACCAAAGAAAGAAAAAAGGAAGGAAGGAAGGAAGGAAGGAAGGAAGGAAGGAAGGAAGGAAGGAAGGAAGGAAGGTTTTTTTTGTTTTTGTTTTTGTTTTTTTTTTAAAGTCTGCTGCCCATCTTTTCTCCATCCTTCTGTGTGTCATTTGTCATTTCCTGACTTGCTTTTACATTATCTCTTCATGCCTGGCCTAAAGCATTTTGATGTGGTTTATATCATGTGTTCCATGTTTGGGGTTCATTTAATTTCTTGGATCTTTGAGTTCACAGTTTTCATCAGTTAAGAGCTTTGTGCATATTATTGTTTCTTCAAATTTTTTATTTATTTCTTAATCCAGTTTTTTTCTTTTAAATTTTAGGGAAGGGTCTACAGGGTGTTCAGGGTCTCACTACTAGATCAGACTTGTAGTGACCTGCCTATTTACAGCCTCCCAAGAGCTGGGATTACAGGCCCGCACCACCATTGCCCAGTCTCAGTTGCTGTCTGAGCACACCCTCGGGGCAGGGCCAGCACAGCAGGCCCCGGGATCAAAGCCCCAGCCCCTGCGCCTGCTTGCAGGTGCTTTAATTCAATCCAATTTTATAATTCCAGCAGTCTTCTTGTCACTGGTCATCTTCAGTGAGCAGACAGGCAGCACAGAGGAGTCTCTGCATTTCTCCCCCGCCCCCAGGTGTGTGAGAACAACCTCTGCGTGCAGTATGAGGAGAGGGTGCGGCCCTGCATCGACCTCATCGACTCCCTGCGGGCCCTGGGCGTGGAGCAGGACCTGGCCCTTCCCGCCATCGCTGTCATCGGGGACCAGAGCTCGGGCAAGAGCTCCGTGCTGGAGGCTCTGTCAGGAGTCGCCCTCCCCAGGGGCAGCGGTGAGTCTGAGTCCTCTTCAGGCAGGCTGAGCTGCCTAGCTTGGGGAGGGCTCGGAGAAGCCCGAGGCGGACCTCCCGCAGCTCTGGCTCTGCATGTGCAAGATGAAGCTTGTGGTCTTTCCCTATGGATTGCAGGCAGCCAGCCCCTCACCGGCCTGCACCTGGCCTTTCCACTGTGCAGGATCCTGGTCTCTGCCGCCTCTCACAGAGCACCTGACACAGTGTTAGGGACTCCACCATTGTTATTGCTGCTTCCTCCTTTAACAGGAGGCCTCCCTCAAAGCCCTGTCTCCCACACAGGCACCTTGTGGGGAGGGCTTCTGTGTACACATTGGGCAGTGACTGTGCACCATCTCACCGAACACATCTCTGTGGGCTCTGTGGAATCTGGTGTGGGCAGGTCTGAATAAATTGATGGGCCCCAGCTGTGCTGTGTACCTGTGGGTGACCCTCCTGAGGCCTTCCCTGGGGAGGTACAGACTGGCACTGTGCTCAGTGGTGCGCTGTGAGGTGCAAGACTGAGGGAGCAAGTGAAGGCTCAAGAGAGGAGGTCAGAGCCTGAGTGAGAGACAGCTCAGGACACTGGGATGTGAGAGGCAAGTGCATCTGGGAAAGGTTAGCAGTAGGGGTCATGGGGCCTGCTGGGCAGAGTGGTGCGTGGAGCATTTGTCTGGGACCTGGAGGTCCAGTGCAGGTGCTGTCAGCGTTCCCACTGCATTTGCCCCCTGTACTGGCTGTGGGACAGTAGGAGGAAGTAGGAAGTCTGACTTGAGTGGTGGCTTTTACCCAGGAAGGGAAAGTCCCTTGGGTGAGTGTTGAAGATGCAGAGCCCTGAGGTCGCCAGACATGAGGTATCAGTGTTGGGGAATCCAGAGAGCTCCGTGCTTCCCCTTCCCATCCCCAGCACTGTGCACGTGTCAGCACCAGTTTTCAGAGGCCACATAAGGAGGTTCTGAGAGCTGGGGAGAACACTGACATGGGTGTGGTCCCCAGGCATCGTCACCAGGTGCCCGCTGGTGCTGAAGCTAAAGAAACTGAGGCAGGAAGAGAAGTGGAGAGGCAAGGTCAGCTACATGGGCGTTGAGGAGGACATCCCGGATGATTCCAAGGTGGAAGGGGCAATCATCAAAGGTCAGTGCTGTGTGTCGCTGTCTGTAGGATGGCTGCTCTGGCCATGCAGTGTGGCCGTGACAGTCCCCACTCTGTCCTTCCTGGGCCCATCCTCCGCCCTCAGGTCTCCACACAGGCCCCAGTCCTTGTCCCATGAAGGTAGGAGCTCTAAGCAGCAAAGGAAACCACATCCAACAGCAGCACCTGGAGCTCCACCCACCACATGCTGTGAGGTCCTGATGGGCCCTGTCCACACCCAGCTGCAGGGTCTGGTTCTCTGCAGAGGGGACAGGGCAGGGCAAGCATGTGGCAGAGCATGTCCCCAGGGATGATGGGAACCCTAGAGATGGGCATGTTGGGCATAGTGGTGGCAGTGAAATTACAGGATGTTTCCTCAATCATACGAACATCTGCCAGGCTCAGAGCATAGCTGGGTTGGGAGCTGGGTCAGGGGTCACATCTGCTTCTGCCTGTCTGTCTGTCCTGAGTATAGCCTCTGTCCCTGGCCACTTGGGGTGGAGCCATCAAGGCCACATTCTGCTGGCTGGGCAGTGACAAAACAGCCTTCCACCACCTTCTGAACATTTCAAGTGACATTCATGTCTTGGCCTGAGCTCACTGTCAGGTCTTGGCTTTCCCACACCTGCCACTGCTGATATCTTGTCTTTTATGTTCTGAGCTCTGGTTCTGAGCCTTTGTTTCAAACACCAAAGAAGCAAATACCAGCAAAAAGTATTAGCGGACAGTTAGGCTGAGCATTTCCATCCTGCTTGCATCATTCGCCAGGGAGCCTCAGGACCTGAGCCGCTTTCAGAGATATCCAAAGCCAGGGTTCCTCCTGCCCGAGCTGGCCTCTCCCTGGGTCAACCTGCAGCTCCAGACTGGGGGATCCCCTGCATGTCCACTTCTTCCCATCTCCTCCCTGTGACTGTCACCTCAGCATAGAATGAGAGACGTGGGAAGCCTGGGCTCCACTGGGCACTGCTCTAGGCTGGGGTCCCTGTAGACAGCATCAGCAGGCCTCTCTGGGGACAGTGCTGGCCACAGCTTGGAAAGTGCAGGACATGCTCTGAGAAGCCAGTGTGCTCTGATCTCAGAAGGTGGACTCTGCCCAAAAGGAGCTGCTGTCCAGGAGCCTGGGAGTGGAAGTGCTTTCTGGACCTCCCTGGGACAAGACAGCCCTGCTCTACACCCCACACGCTTTTCCTTTCCCTCCCTCCCAGCCCAGGATTTGATCACAGGGAACAGGCTGGGCATCAAGGATGAGCTCATCAGTCTGGAGATCGGCTCCCCCAGTGTCCCGGATCTTACTCTCATCGACCTTCCTGGGATCACCCGGGTGCCTGTGGGCAATCAGCCTGCTGACATTGGTCGCCAGGTGAGATGTCACATGCCCTTCAGACCTGGCCTAGGGTGTAGGTGGTGGTGCCTACGGGTGGCTGTGAGCTCAGGGCTGTGTCAGAGAGGGACGTGTGAAGATGTAGTGGCCTTGAAGAGGCCAGTGCTCGATAACTGCATCACATTTCATGGTGCAAATGAGGCAAACAGGAACAACGGGAAACAGATTTCCAGTGTCTTCCATTTCATTCAGCGACTCAGTTTTGGCTGCAGTTCTGGTTTGCAGCAACTCCACTCAGGTGTGTGATGAGAGTGAAAGTGGCATGGAGGAGACTCGGCGTTGGGTGAATCTCATTCTACGGGTACATGTTCAGAGAAGGAGAAGGCAGAGCAGCTGGCGTTGTGTGGCCCGTTGCGGCCACTGGATCTGAGGCTTCAGCCTAAAGGAGTTAAGTGGCTCAAGTCTCGCAGTTGTCCCTGATGCCTTAGCTCCTATGATGGCTGCAGATGAGTTAGTTTGTCATTCCTTTGGCTTGGCAGGTGCCACCAGGCCTTTGTGGGGTGACTTCTCTGACTTTATTTTCCAGGACACCCCTGGAGTCCAAGAACAGAGGAAGTAAAGTCAAGGTTGGGGTAATGTGACCTCTCCCCCCTATCTCAGGAGGCCTGTGTTGTCATTTCTCATAGATCAAGCAGCTCATCATGAAGTACATTGAAAAGGAAGAGACCATCAACTTGGTGGTGGTCCCCAGTAATGTGGACATCGCCACCACGGAGGCCCTGAGCATGGCACAGGAGGTGGACCCCAAGGGAGACAGGACCATAGGTGAGAAGCAGAGGCTGACATTGGTCGTGGGGTAACTGTGGGACGAGCCCTGAATACAGGTCAGACCCTGCATGCACAGAGGTTGGGGACCTGCACCCCACAAGAGGAGCAGCCAAGCTGCTGTGGCACCAGGAGGGGGAGATGCCCCCATGCTCCTTCTCCTCCACCTTTTGCCTGGATCCCATGGATCCCTCGGATCCTTCAGCCGTTCTGCGTGGAGTACTCAGGGCAGCAGGAAGGCAGGGTTAAGGCAGGAGACACACTGGATGCATTGGGAATCCAGGCAGGAGGAGCAAAGCAGATGTCCACAGGCGTGTAGGGGTGGATGGTGGGCCCCCCACCTACAGGACTGGTGAAGGAGGTCGGAAGAGCCCTAGGTGTAGGCTGTGCTGGCTCCTCTTGTGGCTGCCCAGCGGGGCTCTCTGCCAGGGGCTCAGGCTTGCCCCCGGCTGCTGTGGGGGATCCTCTCTGCCCTCCAGCTCAGGGGGACCAAGCCACCCTTGCCCTCCATCTGGAGACTCTGTGTGTCTCCTAATCTCAAGTTCTGCTGCAGGAATCCTGACAAAGCCTGATCTAGTGGACAGAGGCACCGAAGACAAGGTGGTGGATATTGTGCACAACCTCGTGTGCCCCCTGAAGAAGGGCTACATGATTGTCAAGTGCCGTGGCCAGAAGGACATAGAAGAGCGCCTGAGCCTGGCTGAGTCCCTGCAGCAGGAGCACACCTTCTTTGAGGACCACCCACACTTCAGGTACACTGCATTTTGCATTCTGAACCAGATGATGCTACAGAGGATATCTGCAGCACTGTGGCACTTAGCGCGCCATCAGCACCAGCCCCACTATGCTGGGCTGCATCACTCAGTGTCTCATCTCAAGCCCCCACCACACTGTAGCTCGCAGGAGAACCTCCTCCTTCCCATGGCTGGACAACTCCAGCATGTGTGTACCCTCCTCAAAAACACAGCTCAAAAGTGAGTTTGGTCCCCCTGAGGGGCACACAGAGGTGGAGCTGATGGGGCGTTAGTTCTCCCAGAAGGCTCCAGGAAGGCAGCCTCAGAACATGTGTGTGTGTGTGTGTGTGTGTGTGTGTGTGTGTGTGTGTGTGACACACATATGAAAGACAGAGGAAGAGAGAGAAATGGAGAGAAAGAGAGGGAAAGAGACAGACAGTATTTGCTCTCTGGCAATAACATGAACTGGCCAGGAATAATAAAAAAAATAAGTGAGCAAAGTACTGCAAAAACGAAGCATGCAGGGCTGGCAAGATAGTTCAGTGAACTAAGTGCTTGCTTAAGCAAGAGCAGGGGCTAGGGTTCGAGCCCTGGCACTGCATGCCACGCTGGCCCCATCCCCGGGTGTGCTGAGCCAGTGGTGGAGTCTGGGCATAGTGGCACACACCTGTAATCCCAGCACTAGGGAGGCAGAAAGCAGGAGGATCACTATGAGTTGCATGGTGAGACCCTGTGCATGCGCACGCGCGCGCGCACACACACACACACACACGGGTGAAAACGAGGGCGGAATGTGGCACCATCATTTAAACAGTGCATTGCTGGAACTGGAAGAGACACCGGAAGTGAAGAGGGCAGGTGGCGCACCTGAAACGCCCACATGCATGCGTCTGACCCATGTGAGTGAGCCAGTTCTGACCCGTGTGAAGGTGTATGTCATCAGTGCGGCAGGTACAATTGTTTAATGTGCTTTAGTGCATCATAGCAAAATAAATATCAGTTGAAGATTAAAAAGAGCTGGGGCAGCTGCCCATACCTGTAATTTTAGCACTGAGGGAGGCTGAAGAAGGATTGAAGGTCAGGGCCCACATGGGCAACTTAGCAAGACACTGCCTCAAAAATTTATTTATTTATTTATTTATTGATTGATTGATTGATTGATTGATTGTATTTTTAAGTAAGGTCTACAAGGTGTTCAGGGTCGCACTACTAGATTGAAATCATAGTGATCTGCCTGTTAAAAGCCTCCCAAGAGCTGGGATTACAGGCTCGTGCCACCATGCCCAGTCTCAATTGCTGCCTTAGCATGCCCCAGGGTTGGGGCCGGCAGGGCAGGCCCGGGGATCGAACACCCAGCCTTGCAGGTGCTTTAATCTGCTGAGCTATTTGGCCAGCCCTTCAACATTTTAAAAAATAAAAGTAAACAGTACTATGAGGACCTGGGAGAACTAGTATAGCTCAGTGGTAGAGCGCCCCTGAGTTCAGATATTGGTACTGCAATACAGACATAAAGTGTGTATGTACTTCACAGCGGCATCTGTGAAGCACAAGCACTGAGGTGCATCCCAGCAATCACAGGGGCAGTAGTTTCCCACACAGGGCTGCAGAGGGGCTTTCCAATCTTCATATCTCAGAAGCACAGCTCAAAAGTGGGTTTGGTTCCCCTGAAGAGAACACAGAGGTGGAGCTGACGAGGTGTCAGTTCTCCCAGAAGGCCAGAGGAAGGCAGCCTCAGAACGACAGATGCCGCACGCTGTTGTACACAGTATGTATGTTGACATCATACATATAGCCATACACAGCAGTGCCCTGCACACAGCCGGAGTAGAGCCCAGCTCTGTGCATGGAGAAACACTGGGATGCACACAAGCTGGAGTTTTCCAGCTGTGGGAAAGAGGTTCCCCTGCGAGCTGCAGTGTGGTGGGAGCTTGAGATGAGGTGCTGAGCGATGCAGCCCAGCACAGCAGGACTGGCGCTCTTTACCCACTGAGTGCCATCCTTGGGCAGCCACCTCTCAGGGATGGCAAGAGCAGGGGCTGGGCCAGAAGAGGCAGAGCGGTGTTGGTGTGATGCGCAGTTTCCTCTCTGCCTGATAAGGAGGTCTGGGGGATGGTGGTGAAGGAACCTGATGCCACTGAGATGGCACTAAAGTGGCTAAGAGGTCCATTGGACAGCATACATATTTTATTTTACTTTTTTAAGTGATGAGTATGAAGCTCAAACCTTAGCATGAGTGTGCTGTTCCAGCCTTGCTGGTGCTCAGCCTCCTGTGCTGTCACCCTGAAAGTTTGCATCAACAGCAGGGCAGCCTGGGCAGAACAAGAGGACAGTGTGGCCTCCTCTCTCTCTGCATCCTGGTTCGGGTTCCAGCCAGGGGTCTCCCTGCTCCATCCCACACAGGGCTGCATTCCCACGCTGCCCATTCCTGTCCATGGGGAGGCACGCACACCTGCCTAGCACAGGAGGGGGATGTGTGCAGCTGTACGTGCTGTGGAAACACCCGTGCAGTGGCATGGGCTTTTGGAGACAGGAGTCTGACCTTGAGACACTTTCCATGCGGAGCTGGATGGGATCATGCAGCAGTGTGGCAGGACCCAAGCTGGCTCCCTGCAGCAGGGACACGCAGTGTGTGTGTGTGTGTGTGTGTGTGTGTGTGTGTGTGTGTGACATTCAGCCATTCCTCATGAGCAGGTGACCTGGGCTTGACTTCCCCACATGCCCAAGGAGTCTCTCTCTGCTGTCATTCAGGGTGCTGCTGGAGGACAGAAGGGCCACTGTCCCCTGCCTGGCGGAGAAGCTGTCTGTCGAGCTCATCACACACATCTGTGTAAGTTGGACCAGGCCCTGGGTCCTCCTGGAGGGGATCCAGACAGCATGCCAGGCCGTGTGACTCCATCACCCCCTGTGCTCAGGGACCATGAGGGGTGAGGTGGGGAAGGCCTGGCCCACGGCTCAGGCCCTGCTTTTGCTGCAGCCCTGGGATGCAGGTGTCCGGGCAGAGCTAGGATCTGCACAGCAGACCTGCAGGGAGGCAGCTTGTGGGCACTGAGGGTCATGGGACCTTCTCTCCCCTCTGCCCTGTGCCAAGGTCCCCCTCCCCAAGCAGGAGCTTGGTGGAAAGCTGGTAACCTCTCATGGACCATGATGGCGAGGGCTATGCTTGCTGGGGCAACTATAGCAGGAACTGGGATACCTGTTGGATCCCAGTCCTGGCTGAGCCATGTGGATGGCTTTATCCTACACTGGTTGGGCGCCTAACCCTGAGCTCTGGTTTTCCTCCCTGAGGCCCAATCTGGCATCTATGCTGCTGTCTTCTCAAGCCCAGGGTGACTCTTGTGCTCTGGCTTCAGTCTCCTAGTAACCTCCACCACGCTGGCACCTGTCACACAGGAAGAGATGGTGCTATACACTCAGTCAGCCACAGGAGTAGAAGATGAGGCCCCACTGTGGCTCTGCCCAGGAAGATCATGAGGGGACATTAAGGTGTCCTTCAGACAAGGCAGCCCTTCTGCACAGCAGGCCTGGGCCTCCCTTCCACTCATAGTCCATACTTATAGGTTCTACTTTCTCTTTTGGGCCCCAGAAATCTCTACCACTGCTAGAAAATAAAATAAAGGAGAACCACCAGAAAACAACAGAGGAGCTACAGAAGTGTGGCAAGGACATCCCAGATGATGGCAATGAGAGATCACTCTTCCTGATAGAGGTGAGGAGGGTCGTGAGCTGGCGCTGGAGACGCCTGCATTGCTGTCCATCCAGGTGGCCCGACACCTGCCATCTTCACTGACCAGGGGCTCCTCCATGCTCAGTCACTCAGCACTCAGAAGGGAGACAGGGGCTGGAGAGATGGCACAGTGGAATAAGCGCTTCCCTGGCAAGTTCAAGAGCCTGAGTTCAACCCCCGGTTCCGGGGGGAAAAAAAAGAAGGGAGACAGGTCTGGGAATCGAGCTCATCACAGGGATTCAGACAGGCCCTCACCAGGGTCAAAGGGCGCTGGCAGGACAGGTGTCCTGGTCCCAAGGCTCTTCTCTCCCAGAGGGGCCATGAGGGAGAGAATGGCTCAGCTTCCCGAAGGTGCACAAGACCTCCAGGACACCTCCGCCCTGCACGTGAACATGCCTGCTGACATGATGTTTTTCTTCTTGGCAGAAAATCAATGCATTTAATCGGGACATTAATGCTGTAGTCCAAGGGGAGGAAAATGTGGGCATGGAAGGTACCCGGCTATTTGCCAGCCTCCGAAACAAGTTCCAAAAGTGGAATTCCACAATTGCGAACCTCCTTAAAGAAGGTAAGTGCCTTGGTTCATCTGTGCTTATCTCAGCAAGGGAAGTCACATGGGTGGGGGCTCATACTCTGGATGTGGGAGTCCAAGAGAAGGCGCTGGGTTGCCAGGTGTCTGGTGAGCCTCGGCCTCTGCCTCAGCTGCCAAGATGGTGACCCCTGGCTGTGTCCTCATGTGGATGGCAGCTCCTCCTGGCTTCTTTCTACCACGTGATCTCTCCATGGAGGCCCAGCCCTCATGACCTGATGTCTTCTTAAAGACCCATCTCTGAATGGCGCACCACACTTGGAGGAAGTTTTTTCACATCTGAATTTGGGGGACACATTTAGGCCATATCACTGAGCCAGGGCTTAGTCCAGCATCTGACATGATCCATGAGGACACGGAGGAGCATGATGTGAGAGGCAAGCAGTGTGGCTGGAGGAGCCACACTCACTGTGTTCCTTGTCACCAAATGAGGCCAACAGGTAGCTGTAATTGATTTCAAAGCACACGTAACACACTGTCCTGCTTTCCCATTGTTGGTGCACACAGTTTGGTGTGGTGAGGGGCTGCCTGGATTATGGTTTCAGAGGCTTCAGTCCACGGTCACCTGGCTCCAAGATACACACATGGTGAAGGGTGTGGGCGGAGCAAAGCTGCCTCCTGCATGGCAGTCGGGAAGCCACGCACTGAGGGAGAACACTAGAGAGAGCCGTGGCCTGCCCATGTGTACCCAGTGACCCGCCCCTCCTGCTGGGTGCCCCTCACATTCATTGATGGAATTAGTATGTTAATCCAAAGGGGCACAGCACCCTGAGACCCAAGTGCATCTTCAGGAGCCTGCAATTCCAGACTGGCTGACTTTCAGGAGGCCCTGATTAGGTGTCGCAGTCCATCCTGGCTCTAGAGAATCTGTCCTCGGTGGTTGGAGAGGATGGCGATGTGAGCTCCCTGCCCTCCTTGTCAAGAGTGGAGGGCCCGCTGGAGCACTACCGGCTGTGGTTATCCATTCCATGACCAATTCATTTCCACTGAGTTCCAATTTACAGTCCCTGTCTATGGCAACATTCTGAGGTACTGGGTGGGGTTAGGACCCCAGCGCAGGAGCTTCGGGGGGCACACTTGAGCCTGCAATACTGTTCAGTGTGATGCACTCAGCCCCAGAAATGCAGAAGCACTGATACACGCTGAACACGGCTGAGCCTTGAAACCCTGATGCAGAACGAGAGAAGCCATCACAGAGAGCACATTCACAAGATTTGTTGCCTGTGAAATGTCCAGACTGGGGGAGCCATCAAGTCAGAAAGCAGAGCAAGGGCTGCAGGGCTGGAGTGAGGGGACCTGAGGACAGACCCGTGGGTGTGGTGTGTGGGGTTCTTCAGTGATAGAGACATCCTGGAGTCAGAGGAGAGGTTGCACAGCTTTGTGACTATACCAAAAGTCATAGGATTGCTCCCTTTAATATGACGGGTTTATTATATGTAAATTAATCTCCATGATGAATTTCTAATGGGGAAGGGGAGACAGCGCACCCATCCCCAAGGGCAGAAGCGGGGCCCTCCCACACCCCCACCCTGCTGGGGTCCCCACAGCCCATGCCACACTCCAGAGTGCCTGTGTACTGTGGTCTCTGTAGGGGAGGTCACTCCCTGCTCCTGCCTCAGCTCAGAGCAGGTGGCTCCAGCTGATGCTCAAGATCATCCCGTGTCCTAGAGGCCACTAGTTCTGGGTAAGGAACATTCAGCATCCTGAGGGTCCTTTTTGTTTGGTAAAATCAAATGGGGTTTCAGAGAAGCCACACTCGAGTGATTCTCCACCATCCAGCTTCCCTGGGTTCTGCACCTGCTGCTCTCTGCCTGGCCCTTGGCCCTGCACACACCAGCTGGGCTGGGGAGGTGAATTATCTAAATACTGCTTTCTTCAGTGCAATCTGAGGGAGGGAAGCTGTCCATCTGAAAATCAAGATTTATTTTTCATTAGATTGTTATTTGGATTTATGGGGTTGTTATAGACTTGTTTTTGTAAAATAACACAAAGCTAACCTTTCCTGCTATAGGTTATGACAATTTACAAAATGATATCTTGAAATTTGAAAACCAGCATCGTGGCAGAGAGCTGCCTGGATTCGTGAACTACAGGACATTTGAGACAATCATGAAGAAGCAACTCCAGGTCCTGGAGGAGCCAGCTGTGGAACTGCTGCATGAGTCCACCGGTGAGCGTGGCTCTGCATGGGCGGTGGCCTCTACTGCTCAGGGAGGGAAAGGGGTGAGCAGAGACAGCAGAACTTCAGAGCCCTCCCTTGCGCATGTGCTGTGTGGAAGCCTGTTTCCTGCTGCCCCGGGGGCCAGCCTGGGATCCCATAGGTCACAGCTCTGACAGTACTGGAAGTTGCACACACCCAGTAAAGGGCAGGCTTGATCCCCAGGACGGTCCTGGGGTTCATAGCTCTATCCCAAGTCCTGAGTGACAATCTGTAAGTCAGGGCCTCACCTCCCCCTGCTCAGGTTTAGAAATTCTCTGACTAGCAACGTGCTGCAGGGATGTGTACTGGTGTGTCATAGAGACACGTCCTGGAGTCCTAAGGTATCCAGGGCTGAGTCCCAGGGGAGTGGGGTTGCACTGCCCTCCCAGGGTGCCTATGCTTTGTCTGAACTCGGACACCTGGGAGTTTCAGGGAGGCCCCTTTGCGGAGGTTGGAGTGACAACTCTGACCCAACCCCCTTGCCCCACTTCTGATACTGACACCATCCATCTGGCAGCCAGCCTTGTCTTACCACCTAGGGCCACCATACTTGCCTCCACATGCTGAGGCCTTCAGAGCTGTGTCCTAATACTTCCAGAGCAGACCTGTGTGTCTCTTCCCCGAGTCACTCTGCCTCACACCTGTGGTCACGTCCACTATCAAAGGTTCTGCTGATGGGGCAGCTCTGAGGACCCAGGTCAGGGCTGAAACTCCTGATCCCTGGGCATTGCTGTGGCCCAGGCAGGGTCAGAGCCCCCAGACTCAAGTCTCATCCTCCACTTACCCCTTCCTGAAATGTATCCCCTGCTGGATGAGAATCCTAGTGGATCTCCCCCCTCAGGCTGCCCTGCCTGGCCTCCTCCTGAGACTTCATCTCCCGTTTCAGCAAAGCCCAGTCCTGCAAGGTTCCTACAAGTGACAGGGTTTGGGTGGCTTGGGACACCTTGTGCCCAGCTGTGTCCAACACACCTTGTCTCTGGGCTTGGAATAACACATCTGGCCCCCTCACTTCCATACTTGTGCCATCCTTACTCACTTTTTTCTACCTAGAAGGAAGTTTGCAATCCTTAGAGACCAAAGACATACAACAAAGTTAAACACCAATATGTAGACACCATTTTTCAGGAAGTTGTGATTTGGTTTTGGGCTTGGTGGCACACGCCTGTGATCCCAGCACTCAGAGGGCTAAGGCTGGAGCATCACTGTGAGTTCCAGGCCAGCCTGGGCTACATAGGGAGACTCTATCTCAGAAAAAGTAAAAATAAAAAAGATATACAAGCATAATGAGACTCAACAATATGGTAGCAACATCCAGTAAGAAAGTAAAATAGGAATGTGATTTCCAAAAATAAGACATGATGTCAATGTGTTTTGTTTAAAGAACATGATTGTGATTCTTTTTCAAACAATGTGGACACATAGATTGTATTTATAAATTGAAGTTTAATGTGCTGGTTTTATTTTGAAGTATTAAAATGTTTGTAAATTTATAAGAAATCACCTTCTTTGAAAGAGTATCAGGGCTGGTGAGATGGCTCACTGGTCTAAAGCACCTACTTAGAACAAGCTTAGCAAAGCACAGGGACGGCGGTTCAATCCCCCAGCACCACATGCCAGCCAGCCCCACCCCCTGGTGGGCTGAGCTGGCCACACACACACAAATAAATAAATAAATAAAATTTTAAAAATAATAAAAGTATTAAAATTTAAAAAAAAAAAAAGGGTATCAACTTGGGATAGAAAACAAGATGTGCAGCAGGCCTGTGCAGAGGATCCTTAGCTAGGTCCTGACCTTGCCTAGCGGGCAGCAGGGTCAGGGAGGGCAGGGCAGGCAGCGGAGCGGGGACAGAGGCCGGTGTTCCTGACCGTTTCAGTCACGTGTTACAGCCCACGCTGAGTAGAAAGTGGCTGTTGACTCTCACTTTTCTCTCTCTGATCAGATATGGTTCGCAACGCCTTCACAATGGTTGCTGAAAAGCACTTCAGCGAGTTTTTACATCTGCTCAGAACCTCCAAGGTAAACCCCAGGATGGGACGTGAGAGCAGAAGAAATAACCTGACAGCACAGCAGGCATTTTACCTCCTGGGTCTGCTCCAGCATCCTGCTTGCCCCTGGAGGAGTAAAGCTGGCGCTGGCCTGGGAATCCTCCCCATAGTGTCCCCAGCAATGTGGGGTTGAAGCAGGGGGTGTTCAGAGATGAAAGGGTCAGTCTGGACCAGGGCCCCACTCAGCGCAGATGACTGGCTCTGAGGAGGGACAGCCCCATGCAGACACTCAGCAAGGAGGCTCAGGGCAGGAAACAGGCTGTGGAGAGGGACAGGGACAGGACAGGTGTGGACAAAGCCAAGCCCACACACATTCAGGTTCCTGGCAGGTAGGATAGAGGGGTCCCAGGCTCTGCTGTCCTCCAGCTCAAGGCCAAGGGTGGCCACCTTGCTGACCTATGGCCCTGAATGGACAGGTGACACCTCCATGAGGTTGTCATGACAGGAGGACATGGTCAGGAGTCACCCAGCACTGAGCCTTACACTCAGTAGGTCTCTGAGCTGGAGGGTGTGGGTGCTTTCTGGGCAAAGCTGTCTTCTTCAGTGGTCTTAAAAGCCAGTGAAGCCTTTCCTGTCCTGTGTGCTCACTGGGGGACTCCATTACCTGCCTCTCAAATGGCAGAGGGTCCCCTCACAGCACTGTCAGTGAGGTCATTCAAGTCAGGTGGCCGCTGCTCCAGGCTCTCAAGTAACCTACTCTCTTCAGCTGTGGGTTTGCTTCCTGAGGGATCTCTAGTTGCTTTTTCTTCCCACAGAACAAAATCGAAGACATTCGGTTGGGCCAGGAAGAAGCGGCGGAGGCCGCGATCCGCCTTCACTTTCAGATGGAGCAGGTGATCTACTGCCAGGACCAGGCCTACCGAGGCACGCTGCAGCAGACCAGAGAAAGCACGGCTCCTATCCAAGCACGTCCTGCCTTTTCCAGCACTCTTTCAAATAACTTTTCTACAAGCGAGATTCTCCAACACCTGATAGCCTACCACCAGGTGTGTGTGCTCGTGTTCCCCTTCCCATCTGCAACCCCCTGCGGGGAGTCCTGGGCTGTGGGTGTGGTGTCACCTAGCTGTGTGGCCCGGAAGCGTTCACCTCAGTTAGACCAAGGACATCTGGCTTGCGCTGGAGACTCAGCCTTTCAGAGCCAGCTTCCTGATGCACTAGCCATCTTCTCCTGCTGGACTTCCCACAGCATGAGGGTGGCCGATCCTATCCCTGCCTGGAAGCCACAGTACATAGCTTGTCAGGTAGAAGGGCAGCTGTGGCTGGCCCGGGGACCTGTACAGGTGGCCAGGGGCATCTCTGGAGGCTCACTAGGCAGCAGCAAGGCTGGGCTTCTGCACCCGACCCAGCACATGCTCTGGAGGGTGTAGCATGGGGGCCCAGTTGTGATGGCGCCAGGCAGCCCAGCTGAAGGGCATAGCCACCTGTGGAGCCCTGGCCTGCAGCAGGAGCCACTCCATGGGCCCCGCGGGCTGGTGATGCAGTAGTGCTGACACCTGGGAGCAAGCACAGGGAGCCCCAGGCGTGGGGCTCAGAGCAGCAGCCATGTGGGCACAGCGCGGCACAGGAGGCGAGAGAGTGGCGACCCAGATGCCTTCTCCCGCCTCCTCCATACGCCCCTGACCACAAGTTAATCACATCCTGTGCTGCCCCTTCCTGTGCACAACTTTCCTCCTTGTCCTTACTGCACCACAAAGGACAAAAGACAAATGTCATCACCCAGCCACTTCAGGTGCCACAACTCAGGGACATGACATTCCTTCACATGATAGTGTGACGTCCTCCCTCCTCCTCCTTCTGTAGAACCCTCCATTCTGAAAATGTCCCCATTAGCACTGAGTTCCTGTCCCTTGCTCAGGCCCCACACCCAACACCTTGCATTCTGTCTCAGGGATCTGAGCCCTGAGGGGCCTCAGTGCCAGGCTGGCTGATATGTCCGAGCACAGGGTCCTCCAGGTACATCCCTGAGATTGCACAAGTCAGAGTTCTGTGCAGTGGCTGAGTCTTTCCTGTCTACACACAGACAGCTGAGTCCATGTCCACACCCATGGCCCACTCCTGTGAGTCCCCTTTGCTGGCACCTGGTCTCTTCTCTTCTGTGGCCCTTGGCACAGGCCGTGCCTAGCTCCCTTGCTCCACTCCCTCTTACTGGCCCTGCTGGTACAATCCCTGGGTACTTGTCACCTGCCTGGCTTCTTCCCCATGTGTCTTTTGACACTTTGGACGTGGTTCACCATTTGGGGAGATCTGTGGCCCTGTAGTCCCTGCATTCAGGAGAAGAGGCACAGCACGGCTTGGCATCCCATCTTGTGTTATAGCTCTGAGATCAGCGTGTTCCTGAAGGAACGACTGCAGGAGGACAGAGGAAAGGACAGGGAGAGGACTCTGTCCACACTGTGACTCAGGTTTCTGTGGCATCCCAGGCTTTGCTGCCAAACAGCCTGAGGCCTGACCCAAACCAGAAGATGTGGGACATTCTCCCAAGGGGCCACCATGTGGGAATGTCCCTTGGGCTGAGTAGGCCCTTCTCAGTTGCAGAACACATTCCACCCTCTTCCTCCAGCTCCCAGATGATGGCCAAGGAGGCCAAGGACAAAGGGGATCGCAACCATGGCCCCTGTGGACTTCCCACAGGGAGCATATTTGTCCTCCAGCACTGAGAACGCTGAGTGTGACCCAGGCCAGGATCTCCCTCCCTGGAGCACTGGGTCCTATAATACCTGCACAGTGAGATCAGGGTCCCTTCCTGCGCAGCCTTTCTGAGAGTTGTCCTTTCTTCCAGGAGGTCAGAAGGAGCCTGAGCAGACACATCCCCTTGGTCATCCAGTACTACATCCTGCAGATGTTCGGCCTGCAGCTGCAGAATACCATGCTGCAGCTGCTGCAGGACAAGAATGACTGCAGCTGGCTCCTGAAGGAGAGCATCAACATCACAAAGAAGAGGAAGTCCCTAAAGGAGCGGCTAACTCGGCTGGGCCAGGCCCGATGCCAGCTCGCCAAGTTCCCTGTTTAGCCTGCCTCCGGAACCCAGGACAAGGCCCAGGCCTCTCCTGATGGCTGCACCAGTGGTACAGCTGCTTAGGAGATGCTTAGTAGGCAGAGGCAGAAGTGTGCTCTTTGCTTTTTGCACAGTAGTACTGGGGACCAGGAGGAGTTGAGACAGCAATTTAATTTCCAGCCAGAAGAGCACAGTGTGGAAGGGGACATTGCTTAGAACTTATTCAGATAGCTTAGCCTTTAGCCTAGGCTCACAGAACTTCTAAAGGCTATTTAAGGCTAGCTCCTTCTATCCCCAGTCCAATCCCTGCCCCCCAGCCCAGGCTTAAAGCTGCAGCCTTGCCCCTCTACTTGCCACCCTCGTCTGGCTAATAAACCTTCCTGCCATTAGATAACTCCCAGCCTTATGTCTGCCTAAGGTGGTGTTTATGCCACAGCGGCTCTCAGCCTACCAGGGGATGGGTTGGTTCCTGACAGGGCACCAAGAGCAAGTGACAGCAGGGTGCCAGGCAAGACACCGCCTGCTGAACTCTGTGGAGGGCCTTGCCACCCTCAGAAACATCCTCTCTGCTTCTCCAGCCCGTGTGGCCAAGACAGGGCTGGAGATGAATAACAATAGCCACATACTCACTCTTGCCCCTCTAGAGCCTAGCTCCAGCCCATGGGTCACCCTAGCCTGTGGGAGGAAGGACAAGATGGACAGGGGCTGGGGTCCACAGGCATGAGAGGCTCTGACACCCTGTCCAGAGGCAGCCCTAGAATATGGGAACTGCAGGGCCCAGAAGAGATGAGGAGGAGGGTGGAGGTCCTGGGAGCACAGGACTCAGGCAGGAGACATGCACAGGACAGTCTCATGAGGACTTGGGTGATGTCTATAGAGACCCTAAAATGCAGAGGCCACCTCAGAATCCCCTGTTCTCCATGGGGACTGGGGTTCAGATCTTGCTGGACAGACAGTGGTGACAAGGTGGGGCTGGACAAGTGTCCTTGCCCCCCCCCCCGCAGACCCCCTGCTCATGTCTGACCCTGGGTTCCATGACCTCAATCCTCGGTCAGTTCCACATCTGTTCACAGGTGACACTGAGAACACAGTTGCTACACAAACCCTGTCTGTGACCATGGATGGGGGCACCCTGCTCCCCTCTCTGGGTAGCCTGTTACCTGCAAGGGTCCAAGGTCCCTGAGCACATGGAGACTTTGGTAGCCTGCAGTTCCCAGGAAGGGCTGTGCCCTTGTGTGTCAGAGCTGCTGACTCAGTCCTGGTGAACCTAAAGACACAGCCATGGTGCCCCGCTGTCCACTCTGCCCCCAGGTCCCCTCCTAGCTCAACCCCAGCACTACCCCATCTTCCCAGGATACCAGGGCTTGGGCCCAGATGCTGGGCATGTCCCGCTCTGGGCTGTTTTCCGGGTGGTGCCTGGACAGAAGGATGAGAAAGTGGGGACCCTGGCTCCCCAGAGGGAATGTATCTGTGGAGACCCAGCTGAGATCACCCAGGAGCCCAAGTGTAAGAGTGAGTATAGGGAACCCAGCCTGCTCTGCCTGTCAGTAACCAGCAGAAGCACCCTGACTCACTGGACCTGTGGGGACCCCACATGGCTCCTGCTCAGGGAGGAAGCCAGCTCAGGCTGGGACTGAAGAAGACCCCCTGCCCGGGAGGGCACCCAGGGCAAGAGCCTGTGCCCAGCTGCTGCTGTCCACCTGTGTCCCTGCCTGAGCGTCTGAGAGTACCAGACTGTGTGCTCAGGGTGCAGGTGCTAGGTGGGCGGTGGGTGCTATGTGGCCCTCGCTCCTGGGGTCCATGGCCAGGCTGCACCTCCACAGCTGGGCCTCTGCATCCAGGCCAGGAGTAGACAGCATCACTGACCCCTGGGGTTCCAATGGCACTGTTGGCCCCATGAAGGAAGCCTAACTAGGTGTCACCCTGATACCACAGCACTGCAAGAAGGACTTGGCTGGGTGCTGACTTGGTCCTTCTATGTCTCCTCAGGAGCTGCTGCTGGGAGCACAGAGGGTTAGGCAGTGCTGGGGTGTGGCTCTGTATCCCACTGGGGGATCCCTGGGATCTGTGGAGCAGGAGGCCAAGGCACCCACAGACCTGGTCGACGTATTTCCAAGGTGCCGCTGGTGGTGTGCAGGATGTTCTTGGTGTTATTTTCCAAGTAGAACTAATTCTACCTGTACTCTTCAAACATAGGCAAATGACATGAGCTCGAGCCACACCTTGCTGTATAGACAGCCTGGTGCGCTGACCCACCCTCCAGGGCATGGGCAGTGGTTCTGAGGGCACAGCCTTGGTCTGAAGTCAAAAAAGCCCTGAAGTCAGGGGAGTCACAGCAGAATTGGAAGAAAGGACCCTGAGCACCTCAGGGTGAGGCTGTCCCCCAGGAGCCCAGTCAGAGGTGATGTCAGCACTCACCGAAGGCAGCTGTGGGGCTCAGCCAACTCCAAGGAACAGTGCAACATCCTACCAGCTCAGGCTGTGCGCTCCTGAGCATTCCAGGCTCACTTGTATTATGCAAGGAAATTGTACTTAGCTTCCTGGTTACATCTTTCAGGTGAAATCCAGCCTCATTCCAAAGTAAAATCACTTCCAGTATGAAAAATAGACAATGACCCTTGGCATGGGGTGTCCATTGGGTCTGGGAGGCACAGCGAGTACTAAGTAAGGGGGGCTGGCTGAGGCAGGGAGTCCACCCAGTTGGCTCCAGATCCGCCTCTGAGATTGGTATCTCCCAGGCCTGGGTATGTCGCGGGGGCACGGCTGTGGATGCTACACCTGCCCTTTACCCTTCCATGCAATTTTGAATTTAAACATTCAGTGTGTTTTGGGATCGCTTCTCACATACATGGGGCATGCAGCATCCTGGATCCCCGGGAAGGGACTCAGCTCTGCTCCCCGGGGCAGCAGCCTGGCTTGGCAACACTGCATCCATGGCACTGAGCTGGAGAGAACTCTGCTCTGGTAGGAATGGATTATCTAATGCAAAATGTGAGCTTTACATTTTCACTTTCGCCAAGTGCCCTGGAGACCTCCTGATGAGCATTTCAGTAAGAACCAGTGGTTGCCATTTCCTGAGTCCCCTGTCACTGCCTGGAGCAGGCTGAAAGAGTGTCTTCTGTCCTTGCCCAGGGAAACACAGCCAGGTTTTCACTTTGCTGCCATCTTGAGACAAACGCACATGGAGGAGGCCTTGGGCTCCATGAACCAACCTGGCAGGGCCTGAGGATCTGGGGAGCCAGACAGAGAGGACAGGGTGTGTCTCAGTGACATTGATGAGGCATTGGAGGCAGGGAGACACTGAAGAGTCCTGGGCTACGTGGGACCAGCCAGGCACCCCTAACGACCCCCAAATGAGACACAGCCTGGCTGGGGATACAGCTCAGTGGCATAAGTTCCTGCCTGGCAAACACAAGGTCCTGAGTTCGATCCCTGATACAGCCTGGATCTGCACATGGGCACAGCCACACACTGGACAGATACTGGAAAAATTAGAGCTTTTATTTATACAAAGACTTCACAATTGAATATTGCAGCTGAAAACAGTCACAAGTAGAGGATACTCTGCAACTCCACAGGTTGGCACCCACAGCCCCAGAGGCCTGTGTCTCAAGACAGGCCCAGGTGCTGCTCCCATAGAGACCGGCATGGGAGGGCCTTGTCCTTGAGGCCCCGGTCCCTGCCTCACACCACTGAGCCCATGTGCTTGGCAAGGAGCAGAGCTGCAGAGCTGCACCTGAAGGCAGGGCTCATGGGCACATGTGGCAATACCAGCATGGCCCCTTGTTCCGTGGGCACCAAGAGCCAGCTGGGCCCATGCAGCATGCTTCCTCATCCTTGTTGCCGGATCTGGGCTGCTCTTTCCCTGCCCCAAGCAGAGTCTTAGGTCAGCAGCCACAGAGGAGCAGCGCTGACATGGACAGCTTCAAGCAGAAATCCACCAGCCTTCCTGGAGGGCAGCAAGGGCCAGGGGTGCTGAGGTAGTGAGAGGAAAAATTCAACAGGGCCCAGGGAGTTGGAAGCCCAGGCCTGGGACGGGCCTCATCTCCACACAAAGAGAGCACTGACAGGGTCCTCAAGGAGCCCAGCCCTGCCTGGTGCCAAGAGGTGCTTGGGTTACAAGGAGGATGAGGAGGGGCCCAGGAGTGAGGGGCCAGGCTGAGTGTTCCCGTGGGAAACCCCCCACTGACGCTTGTAGCAGAAATGGGGTACAGGCCTACTTTTGTCTTCAATTCCCATCTCAGCCCCACAAGAAGATAGTTTCTGCTGTCCTCACAAGTGACTATTGGGTGTCACCCATGAAAGTCTGGTCTTTTTATTTCCAGCTGATTTCTAGCCAGTGTCAAGCCAGAGCCATGAAGAAGCAGCTAAGGAGATGACCAGGCCAGGCCAGGCACAGTGGTGGAAACTAATCTCAGCATCCTGGGAGGCTGAGACAAGGGGATCTCAATTTCAGGTCCATGCTTGACAATTTAGCAAGAGCTTGTCTCAAAATAAAAATTTTTACAAAGAGCTGGGAATGTAGTTCAGTGCAAAGGCCCTCAGTACGACCCAAAAATTTTAGCAGACTATACTGCTTATGGAGAGCCAGGCCCCAGGCTTCCCATCCCTTGAGGTGGCCCTCTCTGGCAAGTCTCCTTCTTGCTCGGGCCATTGGACACCGAGAGATCACCATCCAGGCCCTCATAGGATGGGTTTGGAGGGATGACCCAGTGCTCAGCACCACTGGTCCTCTGCACTTAGCCCTAGTCCACACCTGGCAGGCCCAGCCCCTACTTCCAGGCAGGGGTCAGGGACAGCAGTGGGGAGAGGGTGCCAGAGCCTGCGAAGGACAGGGCCAGTATGGTCAGCAATCACTGTTTACTAGAGGGAAGGGCACTGCCCGGAATTAGGTCAGCCCTTCCTGTTCTTGTGCTGGATGTCAGGTGCAGCCTGCGGATTAGCTGTTCGCCTGTTCGAAAGGACAAATAGGGTGACCGTCAGGACTCATGGAAGTAGAAAGTTGTTTCTCTCCAGGATGACATGAGGGCCTTAGGATCAGTGAGTTATGTGGCATGCAGGGACGACGCCTCAGATGGAGCTCAGGGGCTGAGGGTGGTGGTCACAGGGACACTGACGATCCATACTGGCTTAGGATCCATACACCTCTTTCCACTCCTGGTCTGGTCAGCCTTCTCCCCATGGCTGCCCTCAAGCCACCTGCCAGCTGGACCCATGGGAGACACCTATCCCCTTCCCCCTCTGTCCTAAAGATTCATGCCTGGCTCCCAAAGTCTTCTTCCTCATCACCCCCAGGGTCACTCAACCTTGTCTGCCAGCCACCTTCTGTTGGCCAAGTGGTGCCAGGCCCATGCTAAGGGGACATGGGTCAAGCATTGTGCGAACACCCCTGTCCTGGCCCTGCTGCAAGGAGAGAGACCCTGAAAGGGCAGGGCAGGGTGCTCATGGCCACCCCACCTAGAAGAGAGGCAAGGTTCTGCCACCAGAGGGCGCACACGCAGCTAGGGAGGCAGGAGGGCAGAGGCAAGCCTCAGCTTCAAGCTTCTCTCCCAGGAAGGGTCCCATCCTGACCCACTCTTCAGCTCTGTCCCTCACCCAAGGCTGGGCTTTGGGAGCTCCATGCGGCCAGGACTGGCTGCACTTGCTCCTGCTGGCTGACCCCTGTCTGTCACACACAGCACAGCTCCTCAGAGGTGACAGGCCAGGGGTAGAATGGAGGCCATAGACAGAGGACCCCACAGCTGGCCCAGCACCCACATCAGGAGCTCTCCTGGGAGCCACAGGCTTCCCCTTGGAGCCGAGCATGGCGTAGGGTGGAAGGGAGCGTTACCCGCATCTGTTGGTAGATCCAGTCTGTGAATACGGTCACGTTCCCGTACACCCCAGGTCTGTAAGCCTTGGCACAGCCGGACCCCCAACTTGTGTCCCCAATCAGCCACCAGATGCCATTCTTCAACGTGACCAGTGGCCCTCCACTGTCACCCTGTGGGAATGTGGTGAGTGACAGAGTGCAAAGTCAAGCCACACCTGCCAGCATGTGCTACCCAGGAGGCAAGGGGTGTGGACCTATGGCAGATATCGTCTATACCAGCCAAAGGCTACTGGGTGCTGGCCATTTAGAATTGCCAGACCACCCAGTTCTGGTCCACCACGTGGAAGCTTTCCTGGAGGAAGATGCAATATGTGGGCTTCATCTGAATTCTCAAGGTCAGCAGCCCTGGCTCCCCAGCAATCTGGAGCTGGCCCAAGTCCCAAGAGGCCCTCCCTGTCCCCTGGGAGCCCCAGTGTCTGAAGGCAGTTGACAGTCACCTGGCAGGAGTCGACGGTGCCCTGCAGGAACCCTGCACAGATCATGGCCGAGGTGATCAGGTTGTTGTAGATGAACTTGTGGTTGCACTTGGAACGCTCGATGAGGGGCACCCAGGCAGCATTCAGCACATCTGAAGTCTTTCCTGGGGACAGGGACAGTGGCCAGTGGCTCTCACTGGAAAAGAGAATGCCCCAGTCTCCCCTCCTCCTAGCTGAACACCAAGTCCTCTCCTAATGTGTCTAATAGGGCTGCTGTAATTGTTCCATGCAAAGCCATATACCACTGAGTTGTACAACTTAAACTGAAACTGAGACCTCCCATGTCAGAGCCCTGGGCCCCATCCCACGTCCCTGCAGCCACCCCTACCCTTACCCAGGAGCCTCACCTTTCTCATAGATGGCCCCCCACCCAGAAATCCAGCACTGCTGATCAGGGTCCAGTACCATGCCAGGGTTGGGCAGACACACGGGCTTCACTCTGTCTGTCTCAAGGAGGAAAAGCATGGTTGGTAAAGGGTCTCCACCTGGCTGCCCATGGTGACCCCTCACCTGCTGGCCAAACACCCTGCTCTAGCTCCCTGGGCTCCCACTTGCCCCTCTCTCAGCAGGTGAGAAGCTCCCTTCAGGGCTGTACTACTATAAACAGAAGCAGGGGCCAGTCAGCTTCTAAACCACGGGATGAGTGTCCTTAGGCAACCAAGGACAGAGGACACACAGGCAGTGGTCCTAAAGTGACCCCTGCATGACTGTAACCAATCCTCCATGAGAAGCTAAAGGGGCAGGGCCAGTGGCAAATGGCTGTAATCCCAACTACTTGGGAGGCTGAGACAGGAGAATTGCAAGTTCGAGCCCAGCCTGGGCACTTAGTGAGACTGTCCTAAAATAAAAATAGGTCTGGGAATGTTGTTCGTTGATAGAGTGCTCACCTAGATGTATGAGTACTGCAGAAAGAGAAAAAGAAGGTTGGGGAATCTGTGTTTGTTTGAATTACGACTTTTAAGCGCCTTGCTTCCAGAGTGTAGGTGAAGAAACAAAATAAAGCTAGAAGTTAGTTCATGCTCCCCGAGAACACTGGTACTCAGAACTTCCAACATCACACGTGGGGGTGCTACTGCCCTCTCGTGGGTGGAGTCAAGAATGTGGCTGAAGGACCCGGACCTAGGAAGACAACAGCTGCGCCAAAGCCACGTGGCCCCCAGCCACGTCAGCACTGTGGCTGAGAGGGCCTGGTATCAGCCTTTCTGGGGTCGATGGCATTGATGCTCCATACAGTGCAAAACACGTGTGGCCCCCCAGAGCTGGTCCCTCCTGCCCCCGCCAAGGCACAAGCCACACCTCACCCAAGCCCCACGCACCATTGAAAGTCAGTGGTGTCTGCAGCTTGAAGAGAGCAATGTCGTTGTTCTTGGTCTTGGAGTCATAATTGGGATGTGAAATCACTTTTTCCACCCGGTAGCTGTCTCCGTAGAACATGAAGGACTGCCTCAGAATGCCTGCAAATGCCGTCCAGTACCGGGGACTGTTGAGGGGCCTGGACAGGCAAGGAGAGCATGCGGGAATCAGGGCCACAGATGGGCACCCTTCCAAAAGTCCCCAAAAGCCACACAGCCACACCAGCGTGACATCCAAGACTCCCCAAGATGCAACCCTCCTGTGGCTTCATGGGGGGCCCCTGTTCCTCCTGTCTTCAGGGCCAGCAACAGTAGAGCCTGAGCCCACCCTAAGACTTCAAACCCCATTCTGCAGGGGCCGGATCTCACTGACCTTTCTATACTAGAGCGCTTCTTCACAGATAATAGATGCCTAATAAGGGTGCTGAGGAACAAAGTGTGCCCTTAATCAGGGGCTTGGGAGGACTCTAAGAGAACCCCCATTCTAGAGGGCCCTCAGAATCTGGGAGTAAAGGGAGGGATGGAAGGAGCCCCCAGGGGAGAAAGATGGCCTCCTTTGCCTTCCAAACCCCCCCAGGAGACCCCAAGCAATGCCCAATATCAGAGCCCAAGGACACTGGCGGGTGGTGGGCACGGTCCAAGGGACACAGACATACTCTTCCACGCAGTGGGCAGCTGTCACGATCCACTGGGGCGTGATGATGGAGCCTCCGCAGACGTGGACACCCTGCACATGCAGGCTGACCTGCCATGGCCACTGGCCTAGCGTAGCCGCGGAGCCGCCCACAATCCTGCTCTGCAGGCCTGATGATTGGACACCACACTCTGAGGACAAGCAAAGGGCAGCCCAGCAGGCAATAAGTGGCAGGAGACAACAGTGGTCATCTGTCACCCCATCTCAAGGAGGTGCATCTGGCCCCCTCCCCTAACCCCAGATGACAAAAGTCTGGGATCCTTGGGCCCCCAGCAGCTAACCACACCTCAAAGGCCTGGAAAGTCCAGGAGGAGGAGTGGGAAGATGGAATGGGCCAGGGAGGGCAAGGCAGGGGTGGGGTGCAGGGCCCCAAAGCCACCTCCTGAGACTGTCCAGTGCCACCCTCCAGGAGGAAGTACAGTCTGTGGTGCCCCTGTGCTGAGGACCAGGAATCCCACAGTACATGGCCTGGTGGTCTAGGAGGCCATTTAGGCAGCCTGGGAGCAAGACATTCCCCAAGAACCTGGGCTTTGTTATAGGACAAAGGGGTCAGGGTGCAACTGCCCAGTGTTGGAGACACTGGTGAACCCCCGCCTGGCTCGTGTCTGGCTTTCTGGTTAGCTGCAGCCTTGTGCAAGAGACTCAGGCACAGCCCCCTGGTCCCCACACCCTTCTTCTCTATATCCCCAGAGATACATCTCAAGGGATGTAGCATTTCCTAGTTACAAATGTAGGGAGGGAAACTGGGCCTGAAGGTATATGCCTGTTGTCCTGGCACTTGGGAGGCTGAGGCAGGATGGTCACCTTGAGGTCAAAGCCAGCCTGGGCTACATAGTGTGACCCTGTCTCAAAAAACTAACAGAGAGAGAGAGAGAGAGAGAGAGAGAGAGAGAGAGAGAGAGAGAGAGAAACAGAGACAGACAGAGACAGACAGAGGCAGAAGCATGAGGACGCACTCACCTATGCAGCGCAGGGAGACCACGCTTTGTGAGGAGCAGCTGTCACTGAAAGATAGAGCTCGGGTCACCATGATGCACAGCGGCGCATTCCCCCCCACCACCACCACCACCAAGGTCTCCTCTCCTGTCTCCCCAGGGTGGAAGGTTCCCTGCTGAAGACGATAGCATGGTGATGAAATCTACTTAGGGATGGGAACACAAAATCAAAGTACCCGGGCTCAGGTCCCTGCTGTGTGACCTGGGACAAGCTGCTAAACCTCTCTGTACCTGTTCCCCAGTCAAATGAGATGATAGTTCCTCAGGCTAAATTTCCTCTGCCTGCAAAACCAACCTCTGACCTGCACCAAATTCCAAACATTTCCAGAACTTACCAGGGAATCATGGAAGAAAATTCTGCACCTCACCGAATTTTTACCAGCAGCAGCAGACACAGTAGGATGGCAGGTGTGCTGACAATGTGAAATTACCTGTAGTTCCTGTCCTATGGTGCATGGGACACATATGTGGCCTTTCTGTTTAGACCAGGGCTCCTCCTCAGGCTGTCCCATTATGTTTATGTAAATATTCTAAATCTGAAAACTCTGAACCTTTTCTGGCCACAAAGCCTTCTGACAGCGGGCATCCCACCCACTGCACTGGCTCCTGAGGACCTGTCTGGGTTGCATGCAATGCACTTTCATGGCCTCTCCTGGTTCTCTCAGGCGACTGGTGCTTCCAGACAAACCAAAGCTTCAGCCTGGCTCCATCCCAAGCCCCTCTTAACAATACTTGGGCCCTCCTCTTGAGACACCCACATAGTGCCCCGGCCATGTAAATGTGGCCCTCCTGGCCCTGGGCAGTGGGCCATTCATGAGGCCAAGCAGAAGAAAGCACACTGCCTTGAAAGATGATGTTTCCTAAGGACCCTGAGGTGATAGGGACACCGCCATGCAGCCACCAGCATGTGGGAACCGGAAGCTCACAGAGGAGCCTGGTCAGGAGCCAGCAGGGCCTCAGACACCCAAAGGTGGCTCTGAGCCTCCCCTTGTGCACAAATCCTGCCACTAGGCAAGACGTGACATTCTAGACAAGGGCCTTCTCTTCTTTCCTACAAAGCCACTGCCACCCCAAGCGTTCCCAAGACTGCTGCCAAGGATGAAGGATGCCAGCCCCCACCCCTTGTTTACAGCCTCCCTGGAGAGGAGGAGACAGTGCCACCCATTGGCAAGGAGGCCCCAACCATGCTGATGTGACCACTAGAGCAGAGGTGGGTACTTAGAACCAGCACCTAGTAGGTGGCAGTACAGGCGATGGCCTAAGCACTGGGGCACAAGCCCTCGGGACCCAGGGTGAGCAAGCTTTATGAACAAAATGGGCACTGTGCATCCTCCCCACTCAAACCACCCAGGCAGCCTGGGCCCCTCCCTGTCCTCCTGGCTGTCAACAATCAAATCCCTGTTGGCTTGTGTTCGTGTCCCCTTGCTGGATACATGGAGAGCTCCTCAGGGCCACAAGCCAGCTTCAAGGTACAAGAAATGTTTGTCAAACTGAACTGGACACTTGTACCTCAGGTCCAGAAGGCTGTTCCCCACATATCATAGGTTGGGGCCAAAGGACCCAGGAATCCCAGCTGTCTGGGATGTCCCCAGAAAGGAGAAATTTGGGCACTGAGACCTGCAAAGCCCAGAGTACACCAGGAAGCTGGACACCCTGGCCAGGACCCCCAGATTGTGGCCTAGGTACCTGGTGCCACACTGTTGTGGCTTAAATGGAGTTCGCTCCTCAAAGTCTTCTATTAGTGGAGTCCCCACCACTGAATGCTGGTGGCTTTGTAAGGACAGGGAGAGGCCACAGGGACACGGCCCTCCAGCCCTGCTGGGAAGTGGCCTGAAGGGCCCTCACCAAAGCCAGCACCACAGTGTTTGCCCCTTGGACCTCCAGAGCCACAAGTCCCATTGCTTAAAGAAGGCTGCTTCTGGGCTTTGTCATAGCAACAGTGAGCCTTGGCTTCATCCCAGGAATCAGCCTTCAGCTGTGAGAGAACCCTCCCCCTGAGCCTAGAACCACAGCCCAGAGGAACCAGCTCAGGACTTGGCACCCACGGGTCTCCTGATTCTGCTCACTGTCAGTTTCTGCAAAGGAGAGAAAAGTTCAATCGGCTCACACCTCAGGTATAGTCTTTTATAGAGATCGATGTTGCCGGCACTTGTGTTGAGCTTCATAAAGTTGGTTGCCCCACTGTCATCCTGTATTCCTTGGCTAGAATAAAAACTGTTCCTAAAAAAGGAAAATATGTACAATAGTGTCCCAAAGATCCCGTGCCATGCCCTGAAACGCCCCCAGGTGGCACTGGAAGCAGGAGCAATCAGCTTAGCAACAAAAACATAACCAGAAGCTACTATAGAGAGACAGGGTATTGCAGCCCATGGATCCAAACCAGTAACCTGGTACCCCGAGGGTAAAGTCCTCCAGTGATCGCATTTCTAATCCAGTGTGGGTTAGGATGAGGATGAGATTAAGGATGCAGGAGAACACACGCGGTACAATCAGACAGAACAATGAATGCTGCAAATTTTCCAAGTTCTATACTAAGAGACACATGGCTATGAATCCCCTCACAACCCACCCCCCCCCCATTAGAACACACTCGTCCCACTATCCTCGCCCTTCCTGCAGCAGTTGTGGAATCCTCTTTCCTGAGGATCTTCAGTTGTGCTGTCCTGGCGGCCTCAACGTCCTGAATCCATTCAAAACATGTCCCTGTCATGGTCATCTTGACTTTGGGGTGGAATCAGAAGTGGACCAGGGCCAGATCCAGTGAATCAGGTGGATAAGGACATGGCATTGTGTTTGGGGGAGCTGCCTTTCTGTTGGGTGGTGCCTGACCACAGGATTCACTGTCATTTTGATCACACCTCCTAAAAGACCCTCAGGAAAAGGACTCCAGAGCTGCTGCAGAAAGTGGCCAGGATGGTAGGATGAGTGTTACTTGGGGAGGGGGGTGATTTTGTGAGGAATTGGTGGCAATGTGTCTTTAGCTATAATAATTTTTTTAGTTTAAACTGTCACTGTATTTTTTTTATCACATCCATACAGTCTAATAAAATATATGGATGTTAAAATGCTCCTCGTTTTCTAAAATCCCCCCAGCTTCCTGAGCTTTGATGGTGTTACTGTGTAACTCAACCCTGCTGGCTGAGGACAGCATCTTAGAGTTTCATCACCGAAGATGCCAGTGTTCTTGTCAAATACTAATGCCCTCTGAAAATGGAAATCAACTTCCGGCCTCTCTCCCATGGACCTGTTTCCCTCATCTACCACAAGAAACAATGGGAGAAGGTGCTCTCCATTTCCATCCCAAGCTCTTGGACCTCCAGCAGCCAGAGCAGTAAGCTGAATAAACCTCTCTTCTTTTTTTTTAAACCTCTCTTCTTTGAAAATGACCCAAGCTCAGGCATTCTGCTACAGCAGCTGAGATGGAAAAGGAACCAGGTCCTGTGTCTGAGCCCTCTTTGTCACCGCCTATGTGGACCTGATGATTGTTTCCTCTGCTCCAGAGCCTCCAATGGCTCCCACATGCAGAGAAAGGGAGCTCAACCAGCCAAAAGCTCCCCATGCTCCCACCTTACCCTGGGGACCCCTTGCTGGGTGGGTATTGCCTGGCAACCAGGGGGATGCAGGGCAGGAGAGCATTTTTCCTCACACTGGAAGAGAGGGCAGGGCTGATGCACCAGGTGGTGCAGCAGCTTTTGGAAGCTGACACCTGTACCCAGTATCCAGTGCCTGTGCTTCCTGAGGCAGGCAGAGTGATGTGGGCTCTCCAAGTCACTACAGCATGTGACCATCATCCTGATGTGCTGTCACCTCCCAGTGCACACTCACCTGTAGCCCATGTCTGCGCACGCTGCCCGTGCATAGCTCTCGCTCCAGTCATCCAGGCACACAGGGTACCAGGACTTCCTCTGTGAGGAGTAGACCTGAAGGATGAAGTTGGGTCCATAGAGGCGAACTGCAAGAGAAGCCAGGCTCTGCGTGAGCACCCTGCACTCTCCCCGCCTGCTCATCCTGCTTGCTACTAGGCCCCGCACTACTGTGCAGCCACCCAAGGGCCGGGGTGGCAGTTGGTTGGTGCTGGGTCTTGTTGCACCCAAAGGGGGGTCATGTTGATCCTTAAAATTTGTTCACATTCATTATGAAAAAGAATTAAATATGGAATTCAGACACACATTTGACCTGATGCGCACCCTACCAGAGCCAAAAGCTGGAGGCTCCCAGCCCTCATGAATGGAAACAGCAGATCTGAGACATACAGTGGGTGTCATGAGTCCCAGAAGTGCACAAAGCTCTGACTCACACCATTACATGAAAGGGCCTGGAGGATGCTAGGGCAGGGCGAGGACCAGTCACGAAGACTCACAGTCTGAACCTTTCTCGCCTGTGAGAGGCCTAGCACAGGAGGTCCAAGAGCACAAGCAGAGCTGTGGCAAGTGGACAGCTGACTCCCTTGGAACTCAAGGATGACCCTGATACCCCTCCAGGAGTTCCACAGGAATGCAGCCAAGTTACTGCAGGATGCAGCAGGAAAGCCAGGGAGCCATAACACCAGTCTGTGGGGGACGGCAGGTGGGCCTAGCTACAAACCGGGGCTGCCAGTGGCTGACATGTTAGACAGCCTGCTGACATCTCTCAGCTGGTCCCCAGGGAAGGGCCACACTGGTGTGACTGTCTTCTAATGCTCCAGTGCTGAGCAACTCTGCCTGGCACCTGTGATCCAGCCACACCTTAGAGGACTGTGTATAGGAACTGTGACACTGCCAGACAACAGGAAATTATTCCACCCTAAAAGCAAAGGAGCTGTGGGGCCAGGAAAAGATGCTCTGGGCCTTGAACCCATGTCACAGCATGAAAGAGGCTGATTGGAAAGGGTTGCATGCCAGTTGGGGACGCACCCAGGGCCCAGGAGAGGGCCGCAGGTCAGGCTCCCTGGGGTGCTGAGTGGGATAGCTAGGGAGGCGCAGAGCTTCTTCCAGACACTGCCACAGGAGGACCTCAGAGCCGTGCCACAGAGCATCAGAAGGAAGAGTGCTAGTGACTACAGAACCATGACGGACAGCGGCGTTTCCAGTTGGTGTAGCGCTACAGATAACATGAAACCTTATCAAAGCCACTCCCATGCTGCTGGTGGGAACACCAACATACGACCACTTGGAATCAGGGCGGAGAACCCTCAGAACTAAAACTAGAGAGACTTCCATACATCCCAGCTGTTTGCCTCCTAGACATCTTCCCAAAAAGTGAAAGACAGCACCCTGCAGGGCCCTGTGCATACCCACGCTTAGAGCAGCATAGCCTACCACAGATCAGGCTTGGATGTGGCCTCAACGTGGATTGACAGGTCAAGGGATGAAGAGAGTGTGGTGCCCATGCACTGTGGGGCGCTGCTGTGTCACCAAGAAGGATGAATGAGTCATTTGTAGGGAAGTGGGTACCCCTTCAGGCCATAATGTCAAGTGGAGTAAATCAGAAGCACTGTCTTAAATATTGAATGGTTTCTCTTATATGTGAAACCCAAGGTATAAATAAATCAAAGGACAAAATATAAGATAGACAACAGGAAGCAGGGAGATAGATCTTTTGCAAATGGGCTGGGGACAAAGCAACGGGGGCAATGAAAACTAGCAGAGCTGTATTATGCATGCACTCCAACTCCCGCTCTGGGCCACAAACACACACACATACACACACACACACACACACACACACACACACACACACACACACACAAGAACTAGGGATATGTCTCAGTCCAAAGGCCCTGGATTCAGTCCCTAGTACTGCGAAAGAAGACAGAGAGGGGCCCTGGAAGTCTCTGCACTTGCTGCTCAGTTTTCTGTAAATTTAATGTTGCTCTAAAAAGTTCAGCCTAAGAGATGCTTTTACAAGTAACTGTGATGTAATTCCATAGTGAAGATTAAAGCTGCCTATAGAGAGAGATGAAGGAGGTTGCCTGGCCTGGCTGGGGTGACTCTAGGGGCTTGTGTTCCCCGCCCCTCTGCAGCTGGATCTGGCCCTGGAAATGAAGCCAAGCCTTCTCCAAGGGCACCTTGCCAGCGTGTGAAGGTGCCGGGAAGCTTTGCGGCATGGCTGAGGTGTGGGCCACGCAGGGGCATTTGAGGTGTTCTGATGCTCCTTCCCACCGAAATGCGATCCGTGGGGCTCCAGCTGGGGGGCGCCCTGGTGCCTCCCACTTATGGGAGGCAAAGAGCTCTGCTCAGCTGGCTGGGCTCAGTTCCTTTCTCTGTGGTGGGAACGCTGCAGATTGGCACCTCAGCAAACTAATGACCCAGAACCGTTAACAACAGTGGCCTCCAGGCGTTCCCCAGCGCCACCTTCTGACCTTTCAAGGAAGACTCACAAGGAGGGGAACAGAAGGAAGAGGGTTCGCACACACACGCACACACACACACAGACACAGACACACAGACACAGACACACACACACACACACACACACACACACACACACACACACCCCACAGCACCCTTGAGAGAAAAGCCCCACCAGGAATGTTCCTCACATTCTGAAAGCACGCGCTTCGGCAAAGCCACTCCCTGTCTGAGCCAAGGCCCACCCGTGAACTGGACGCGCCGAGGTGATGCAGCTCCGGGCTTCTTCCAGGCAGGCTCAGGCCACAGAGCTGTCTGCCTGGCTCCAACGGCTTCCTTCCAGAGCCACGTCACACCAACACGCTCGCACGCGCACGCAGCAGGCACTGCGGGCTGCGGCATGGGGGAAGGGTGCGGCAGGGAGGCCTTCGTACCCTTGGCCGGCTGGGAAGCTGAGTTTACACCTAGACGCCCTCACAAGGCGAGCCAAGCCCACGGGGGAGCGGCCGGCCGGCCTGAACCTATGATTCTGAAATTTCTATTCAGAAATTTCATCCCTGAGGATGGAGCTCAGGGCAATCGTAGCCCTGGGTTCCAACACAAGCCAGCAGAGACAAAAAAAAAAAAAAAAAAAAAAAAAACGGAGAGAACCACAAACAGAACCGCAGCACTAGAGCTCCTCTCCCTGCTTAGGTAACCACTAGCAAATCAGTGAAAGACAATGACCTGCCAAGGTGGAGAGAAGAGGGAGTCCTTCACACTGCTGGTGGATTGTAAATTTGGGGGTTGAAAACTATGGAGGGTTCTCGAAAAATTAAACATAGATCTTCTGTATGAGCCAGCTATCCCACTGCTGGGCTTATCACCAAAGGAAATGAGTAGTGTGTCAAAGGCATATCTGGACCCCTGTGTCCACAGGAGCACAATTCATAATAGTCAAGCCATGGAATCAACTTCATCGGAAGATGAACAGATCAAAAGATGTGGCAGATGCACACAGGATATAACTCAGCCTTCACAGAACATAAATTCTATCACTTGACGTAAGCCAGGGGCACGCACGCACACACACACACACACACACACACACACACACTCAGACACACACATTCTCTCATACATGTGGAATTTTAAAAAGTCAAGCAAAACACAGGAGTAGAGCTGTGGCTCCCAGACACTGCAGTGGAGGTGACAGCGATGGGTCCCAGAACACAGCTCCCTTTAGATGAGAGGAACAAGCTTGAGAGACCTGTCCTGCCACGTGGCAACCTGTGTCAGTAGTGCAGGGGGCTGTTAACAGTCAGGAAAAGCGGAGAGAGATTTTAAGTGATCTCACCACACGAGAACAGAGGAGAGGTAAGCAGCCCTAGCCCTCGCAACCCGGCTACCCCACAGAGTGCATGTATCGGAACAGCATGAATACAGCTGTCACTTGTCAGTGGAAATAGATCATTGGCTGTATTAAAAGCAAGGAGAAGCATTCACTCTGTGACAGTGCACAGAGTGACAGGAAGGTGCGAGGAGCCTTTAAAGTTTTAAGACTCACAATGGTAAAAGACACACTGCCAAGAATGCTGGGAGGGTGTGTTCCAGCCAAGGGAGAGCACAGGGTGCTTGCTCATGGCGAGGTGTCTTTTCCTATGACACACATGTAGAGTTTCAGTGCTCAGTGCATTTCTGGCCATGCCTCAGGACTACAGCTTTCTGTTCTGAGCAGCTTGCTTGGCTCCGCACTGACCTCGCAGCAGCAGGCAGTGCGGGTCCCAGGCTCTGTCCAATTCCCCTTCCCCAGTGATGCCGGGGTGCCCCATCTGAGCCCAGACCCCAGGCCAGGCCCACTCACCACAGCGGTTCTCATCTTCCCCATTAGGGCAGTGCACAACCCCATCACACCACAGCGAGGGGCTGATGCAGATCCCTGAGTTGCCGCACTCCACTCCGGACACTGCACACCGCTTTTCCACTAGCAGAAGGCACAAGAAGGGAGACGCCATCAGGAGGAGGAGTCATCAACTATCCTGCCCCCACCTCCATGATCATAAGGAGAGCCTCACACAGCTCCTACCACCCATTGACTCCCAGGCTCTGTGCTGGGTGTCTGCCCGCTCAGGCAGAGGGGGACTGCAAGGAACACTAAGACTCAGTCACCAGGGTCAGTCATGGTCACGCACAACCATTGACAGAGCTGGTGGAAAGATGGCGCTAAGACACTGGCCACTCTGAGGGCGGGGCACTGGCCACCAGAAGGGAAGGAAGTGGGCTGCCGGGGACTTACAGAATTTCCACAGCAGGAAACCACTCAGCAGGATGGCCACCAGGACAGCCCCCAGGACCAGGATGAGGCACAGTATCCGCTTCGTCTCTGCAGGAGTGGAGGAGAGCAGGACACTTGGGTCAGCCCTGGGCACAGGACACCTCCCATGATGCTTTTTCTGGTTTGTTTAGTTTTGCTGAAATAGGTTCTCACTGTGTTCTCCAGGCTGGCTGTGTATTTATGGCAATCCTCCTGCCTCAGCTTCCTAAGTTCTGGGATTCTAAGCATGTGCAGCCATGTCCTACTTCACCCACTGGTCTTATCTTCCAGGTATTCCCTGACCTGGATGGACCTGGAATGTGGTCTGGAGACACCATAGTTCTGGCTGCACACATCACAGGTTGCCATGTACACCACACACCTGACCTGTGACTGTCCTCACAGCCTCACCTACCATATGCGTGCTCAGAAATCTGCCCCTAGCCTGCAGCAGGCCAAAGCACCTTACAGAAAGCCTGTTTCATAGGACAGCACTGACTGTGTGCAGCCTTCCAGCACCCCTGTAAAGGGGTGATGTTATGCATCAGACCCCTGCAAGTTGGGGACTCTCTGAGAACCCATTAAGGGTTTGTTGCATTCTTAAGAGCATGAGTATGAGACTGTATACAGTGGCACACACCAGCAAGCCTGGTACTCTGGGAGGTTGAGGCAGGAAGCTCACAAGTTCAAGCCCAGCTTGGGCATCTTAGTGACTTAGCAAGACACTGCCTCAAAACAAAACAAAAACAAACAAACAAAAAAAAAAAAATTAGAAAATGGCTGGGGAACAAAGTTCAGTGCAAAGGCTCTGTTTTTAGTCCATAGCATTAAAAACAATGGTGAGTTTGAATTTTAAGAATATATTTTGGAAATAGTTCAGCAAATTAAAGTGCCTGCAAGCAAGTATAGGGGCCGGGGTTCAATCCCCAGGCCTACTGTGCTGGCTCCAGCCCCGGGGCACACTGAGACAGCAATTGAGACTGGGCGTGGTGGCGCACCTGTAATCCCAGCTCTTAGGAGGCTGTAAACATGCAGATGGCTATGAGTCTGACCTAGTAGTGAGACCCTGAACACCCTGTAGACTCTTAAAAAAAAAGAACATATTTCACTTCTTCCATGGTCTAAAACTTCATGCATTTTGGAAAACAAAGGCAGACCTCCTTGACTAGAAAAAGCTATGCTCTTAAACAGTGCCTGGTATCTACAAAAGTTCTGAATATAGGCAATGGCCTAGGATACAACTGAAAGAAAGAGCAAACGTACCTGGTTTTGGTAATTACAAGCAAAAGCAATATAATAATAGCGATGTCCCCACAGCTGTCGGTGCCAGGGCACCCAGGGCAGAAGGAGCTGTCTCTTCCAGGGCTGTCAGGGAATAGAGGCATCATACCACACCTTGCCCCTGGCAGCTACTACTTAAGCTTTAATTAATTACAGATAAGTGGAATTGACAGAAGTGTGTAAATCCCAGTTTATAGGAGGCAGCAGCTACCAGGCTGGGTAGGGCACTCTGGAGCAAGCCTACTGCTGCTACCAGTCTCGGTTCGATGGACCTTTGCCTCCAGGGCAGTGACACTGAGCTCAGAGCTAAGAATACAACAATCTGGAGAAGAATAAAATAATTCATCTAAGAGTAAGATAATTTGGAGGAGGTCACTGATTTTCTCCAGCCAAAACAATTTTGGTGAAAAGAAGTGAGTCAAAGCTGTCCAGGTCCCATGGAGAGTAGGGACAGCTCCACGTACCACGGAGGCACCAGTGGGTCAGAAACCAGCCCCATAGGGAGGAGGACCCTAGCCAGCTAGCAGGGAATCCCATCCTCAGGAGTCCCAGGCAGAAGAGAGAGGAGGTTAAGGGTAGCCAGGCCCTCCCAGGCTAGCCAGGTGGCATGCAGGTCTGGGGTTTGCACCTCGATGGGTCTGTGTCTTCAGAGGTCAGCAGGGCCAGGAGCTTGGCAGACCTGAGCTGACCCAGCTGCTCAGAGCTCAAAGGCACACCTGTCCCTTTGCCAACACCCCTTGCCATTTCCACCATGACCCTGGAACTCCCCCCTGCCTCAGAATTCCCTGAAGAACTGATTCCCATCCCTAAGAACTCTGACCAGCTGGGGAGTGGGCACGGATCCGTATTGCCAACAAGTCACAGGTGAAGCCTAGGCCCAGGCTGGGAGCCACACCCCGGCAATGATGTTGGCAGAAATCAAGTAATGTGACTGGGAGTGAGGCGGCAGGGTGGAGTGGACCAGGAGGCTCACAGGGGAAATTCCAAATGGCCCTTTGACCCAGGACACTTTCCTTCTTAAGGCTTTCCTGCATGCCATTTTATATAAGGAACACTAATGTGCTTGAACACTCTCAAGGTCCTGGGTTCAATGGCCAGGAGTTAAGCATCATTAAGTTAGGCGTCCTTCACCTCACAGCAAGGGGTTGGCAGCCTGCCTGCTGTTCACCAGTAGCTCCCGGTTTTACCCCTGGATGGCTGATTGTCATCAGTTGGTACCACCTCCACTCAGTTAGTCCTGGCTCTCAGAGCCAGTAGGGGTGCAGGAAAAGAATAGGCAAGACCAGCACAGAAACCTAGGCCTTTCAAAAAGTAGGAGAAAACCAGCCTCTGCGGTGGTCTGAGACTGAGCAGCAGCCGGTCTTGTGGATTTTGTCCCCAGAGCACGCAGTCTGGGGTTTTACTTCTACCCTAGTTCCTCCCTGTTTAAGTTGCCATGCCTACCCAGGTTTCCTTATTAGCCCACAAAACCCAAGCTCCTAGCAACAAGATGACTACCCAATCAGGTGCAACTGCCCTTAGGGTGGGGTCCCCAGGCCCTGACCCCACAAAACAAGCCCAATGCCCCAGATTCCGTGGTTATTCAACTCAGAGGCTCCTCTCCTTAGAGTAACTTTATACCACTTCCTTCTGCAAATCAATCACTTTTGCTCCATCTCCTGACTTTTCTTCCTCTTTGTATGTGAGAGAGACAAACAAGCCCAAGAAACTTTGAGTACGGAATGGTGACCCCAGGCCCACTGGATGTGGCATATTTAGGGGGCTTGCCTGGGATTATAAAAAAATCACATGGACCACCAGACTCAGTCAGTATAATCCAGAATAAACAGGAGTGAATGCAGGAAGACAGTGGCCCCCTCCTCGTCTCTGGAGAACCACAGGCCCTAATCTAGCATAGCTGAAATTTGGCTGGGGTCCCCTAGGTCACAGGGGGCCTATTCTGGGGTCAGTCCATCCTCACAGGGCTAACTGGCAGTGCACAAGGACTCAACACCTCATGTAGCTGTCTGGTGGTCCACAGAGCATGGGCAGGAGCAAATTATTTATATGGCTGAGGGGCCATTGGTCTATGCAACCTGCCAGACAGAAGTCCAGTGCCTGCTCCTCAGGTCAGAGGCAACCAAGGCAACCAAGCCAAGGCTCCCTCTCCTGCACCAGCTCTTGGGTCTACACAGACCTGCCTAGGACTAAGAGCCTGAGACCCTGGTCGGTACCCTGTCGAGGACCTGACCCGACCTGCCAATAGGCAAGAGGAGGCCCCCCTCAATTTAGCTGGAGTGTCAGAACCCAATGTGGGGGATTACAGACACCATGAGGCAATGACCTCTCTGTCTGTGGGCCCAAGAATTTTTTTCTAAAGCCATCTCCAGATTGTATTGCTCAGGGTGCCTGAGACTGGAGCCTCCTTAGGAAATTGGGCTCTGCACCCTTCCTTGCCCTTCCACTGATGCACCTTTAGGGAAAACTAGCCTTTTCATATTCAACCCTGACTGAGTCTGATCACTGGCTCCTGTTCAGAGAAAGAGCAGCTAGAGGAGGCAGACTGGAACACATGGGGCCCATATGGAAATAAACACAAGAGGCCCCTACTTGAGGTGCAAGTCCCCGGGGACTTGGGCTGTGTGTGGACGACGGGTGCCGAGGCCTGTGTAGGAACTCTTGGGGCATACTGGGGCACAGCTGGCGGGTAGTACGGAGGCGGATACACCTCGTAGACATGGGGCGCCGTGGGCGATGGCTGTGCAGGATAGAGGTGTTCCGGTTGGTACCCATGATTTTCATAGTAAGGTCCAGTGCTCGGCGCAGATCCCTAAACAATGAGAAAAGACAAACTGCATAAAGCTCTTGAGCAACCCTGAGGCATTCGGCACAGACTGCCATGTGACCCTCCTGCCAAATATGGATAGGCTGTACTAATCACATCACCCTTCCTAGGACAACCAGATTCCAACTCTGAGCTAGCCAGACTCTTGATCCTCTGTGTTTTTGTGCTTTACTTTTTTATTTAATTTAAATAATTTCCAATGTTTATTCCTTGAAGTAAAGAAGTGGCTGATATTGAGATTTGGTTTGAAAAAGAACACATCTAGAAGTCTGGCCTTACAGTTCACTGTGCCTGGCCTCAGCATCCACATGAAAAATTATGAAGCAGTGACCCCAGAATTTGCAGGTCTGTCATGGCTGGCATTTGAGGACCTACTTGCTGCGAGCCTCTGTGTTCGTAACCTCTTTGATTAGGAGGGGCACAATTCCCACACTCAGTTTCCAAGGAAGTGGATCTGAGAAGTGTACTTCCACGCCCCACCTGTTACCCACCAACCCATTTCCAGGTTCTCTTCCAGGGCCACCCCAACACCGACCCACCCTCCCTGAACAAAGGCAGTTAGCAGTTCTGCTGCCATAAATACCCTTATATAGCATGACTATCATCCTGTGCAGGGTGGGGACAGCTATACTACGTTCCTTCCAGTGGCATTTCTGGGTCAAGGTGCCTTCCTTACACAAATGTGGAAGGAGTGGCCCAGCTACCGGCCACCAGTTTTATTTGCACTACATCTTCACCTGGGTGCCCTCTTACTGTGGCTGCTCCCAGGCCATCTTCTGGGGTCAGTGCTCCAGACCCACACTGGGAACCCCTCTGGACCCCCCACTGCAGCCTCCCCTCTTTCCACTCCACAATTGCCCCATGGGTGGGCTTTTCCTGGGAGAGGTCTTATGGTCCCCACCAACACTCGGTTCCTGGCCTTGTTACCTCTTGTGGGCATTAGTGAAAACAGAGAGGGCTCCCTCCCAGGTGAGGTGCTCTAGAGGGAGGCTCCTGAGCACTCACGTTTTAAATTTAGCCTCTAGGAAGTGTTGGAAAAGAATAAGCCTGAATCCCAGAGGCAATCTGTGCTCAATGTAGCTCACTGATGTTCCACACCAGGTGGAGACAGAAAGGAAAGGAGCTGCAGTCCCCAATCTAAAACTGGGAGGAGGCCTGAGCATCAGTGGGATCCCTGTCTGGACCCAGACCTGAGAAAAAGCCCCCCACCAGGACAGGAGAAGGTGTATGCCCCAGGGAATTCTTGTGCAACAGATTTGGAATTTTAAAGGGTCCAGTCAAAAATACATGCAATCAACAAAGGAAACACAGTACGTTTTCCTACAGGACTCGAAGAAAATGTTTCCCAACTATGAAGACTTTATTGGACATTTATTTTAGGCACACAATGAGGTTGTCAGCTATGACAATGACTTTTGTCTCCAGGCAGTAGACTTTGGGGCTCCAGGGTGGACCCTCCAATGTACAGAAGGCTGCCAGGGAGTAGGCAAAGGGGATGCCCCCAGCAGCCTCAGCTCCCCAACCTCACACTTCCACCCCCACTTGCCTCACCTGTCTGCACACTTCCCACCCCACCTACTGCCCCAGTCTGAAGGGAAGAGACCAAGGGCTACCCGGACCTGGCAGCAACAGGCTTTGGGCCCCCATTCTGCAACTCAGGGCCCTGCCTTGATGCACCCCTTCCTAGACAGTGCCTCAAACCCCAAGCACACATGCTCTGCTCCCCCCAGCTCCTTCTCAAGGTGGCCCCCGTGTGCTGCTGGGAACAACAGGGAATTCAGACCAGACAGGGAGAGCTGGGAAGTAATCATTAACCACTTACTGAGTTTAAAGCCATGCCAAGGCTATCAACTGCATCAGGTAATGCTGGGGCCTTGGGCTGGTCCAGACTCCCTGGAAGAGAGAATCACAAGACTGTAATGTTTCCACACTGCTTCATAGCAAACGATAAGGTAGGCAGCCAGCAGGCACTGGGGGGAAAGTGGCTCCTGGTCGGCACACAGCAGCTCCCATTAACCTAGGGGACATTCCACTATCACCTCTTTCCAGGGTGTTTTGTACACAGCGAGTTCCCAGCTGAGACATGCTGGAACCCAGCACCCCCTGGGGCACAAAACTGCTTTTCTGGGTGGAGGCTGGGGTGTTCTCGGAAGGGACAGGCTGAGGACCTCGTATGAAGGGAAGGCTCCCAGGGGTGTGCCCAGCACTAATGCAGGCCCCCAGTCTTCTTGTAGCCCTGCAAGGCTCTTGCAGAGGGACTATGACGTCCCCTCAATTACAGCTACCAAAAGAAGACTGCAAATGCTATTTGAAGGGCCGAAGCAGGGTGATCTCTGTGAGCTCAAGGCCAGCCTGGGTTACACAGTAAACTCATATCTCAAAAAAAAAAAAAAAGGAGAAGGAGAAGAAGGAGAAGGAGGAGGAGGAGGAGGAGGAAGAGAAGAAGAAGAAGAAAAAGAAGAAGAAGAAGAAGAAGAAGAAGA